ACACTGACCTAGAGGATAGTACCAGCATTGCTTCACTTCAGCAAATGAAGGCCTTCTGAGCACCCCGTCCTCAAAGCTCTGGAATGGTCACCTTGGAAACAGCATCATTTTTTATCAGGGCAACTGATGGAGGCAGAAGTCAAGATGCTTTAAGGATTTTTTAAAAATTCCATTTTGCTAATTACTGTAACAAATATATGGTCTTCTTAGTGATTAACTGCATCTTGCCAGGACACAGAACAAACTTGCCTCAAGTGTTGTTTGACGCTTCCATTACTATATACAGTGGTTTTTATTGTACTGTGAAATTGCTTTGATATGCTTCATGGAAAGATGCTTCACAAATGAAATAAATAATGATACTCCTGTCCTCACAGGCTTTTGCAGTAAAGTAGTAATCATTTTTGTTCGTTTTTTGTCCCAACACTGTTGTTCTGTTGCTTGTTTTTGTTAATTTGGATTGTTTTTCATAATCATAACTATGATGCCTGTGTTTTCCCTCCACTGCCAGAGGCAGTAAATGCCTCTGTCTACCAGCTGCTACAAATACTGTTGCACTCAGGTCCTGCTTGTGAGCTCCTCATAAGCATCTGGTTGACCACTGTGAGAACAGGATGCTGGACTAGATGGGCCTCCATTGACATGATCTCCTCTTTCGCTTCCCCATCAGTTGCTCCAGAAGAAAAAGGAGTTGGGGAGGTAAACTTCTTACCCATCATTTATTTAGCCTCTTTGCCACAGAGGCTTCTGATGTACTTCAAAGAACACATAGGACTCCCAAGTCAGTGCTCTGCATACGTTACCATCCCTTAGATCAGTCCTCGGCAACTGAATACCAGTCACATGGGAATGAAGAATGGTGGGAGAGGGACAATGAACACAAGTTCTGCATATTGGCTTCCAACAGGCACTTGGCTGGCTACTCTGAGGACAGAATGCTGGACTAGATGGTCCATTGGCCTGGTTCAGCTGCTGGGCCCTTCTTAGGTTCTTAGTGTGTGTGTGTGTGTGTGTGTGTGTGTGTGTGTGTGTGTATTTTAGTCATTGTTGGAAACCACCCTGGGATGTGATGATGGGTTGCCTGTAAATGATATATTTTATATACAGTGGTACCTCAGGTTAAGAACTTAATTCGTTCTGGAGGTCTGTTCTTAACCCGAAACTGTTCTTAACCTGAAGCACCACATTAGCTAATGGGGCCTCCTGTTGCTGCTGCGCGATTTCTGATCTCATCCTGAAGCAAAGTTCTTAACCTGAGGTACTATTTCTGGGTTAGCGGAGTCTGTAACCTGAAGCGTCTGTAACCTGAGGTACCACTGTAAATGATTTGCATGGGGGGGGTTTAATGTTATCACACAGCCCCCCGTGGAGGATTTGTAGTGCTGCATCGCAATCTCAGATTTGGATGAAGTCAGGTTTGCTTGGTCAGGGTGTGTGACAGGGAGCAAAGGAGAAGGCGGGTTTGTAAATGGCAGTTCCAAACAACAGCAGGGGTTTGAATAAAGCGAGGATGGAAGGACACAGAGGAGCTGTGGGGGGTGGAGATTTGGGTGAGGTTTAAAGGGAGGGGGTAGGCAGGGTTGGTGAGCAATAGGAACAGAGACAGCAGCCCCTCGCATCTCCTTATCTGATCGATAGTTACTTGTGTGTGCGGGTTTCAAATTTTGCTGAATTTCACATTCATGCACATTTCATTTCAGTTCTAGGGCACGAAAACAATGCAAGCCATGCAAACCAGACACCATCCCATTGTGGTCCCCTTTTATAAGCTCATGTCTAGACTTGCATGCTTAGGTTTTGTTTCATTCTAGCTTTGTCCCCCTATGGTCCTGATAACAAGCTTCACTGCTTTCTATATAGGTGTGCCTCCTTGTCGCAGAATTGCAGAGTTGTTCTTTCTCTTTCACTTAATCTACTGGTGCAATATTGAGGGGAAATGATAAAATGCTGAAATTCCAGGAGTAGCAATGCACATAAATAACTGTGCACCCTGAAGCGCTTGGAATCTTTACCAGGAAAAAAGGAGTCTGTTAACAAAAGATTATGGCATGAGACAATGGAAGGGACTTCTGAATATTCAGAAGCAAGTTTTAAATTAGTAATTACTAAAGCACAGCAGTGTGAAATATGCAGCACCAACCCCCTAGCAAAGGCTCTCTGGAACAGACCCATGCATTAGACTCTTTCCTGACAGAGAGGGGCGGGTGCCAGGGCAGACCCCCCCCCCTGGAAGAAAGCTCCATCAGGTAGGGGCCTCCACTAACTTGGCAACCTGTTCCATTTAGGCCCCACCTGCACTACCCATTTAAAGGACTATGACACCACTGTAACCAGTCACAGCTTTCCCCCAAAGAATTCTGGGAACTATAGTTTGCTAAGGATGCTGCAAGTTGCTAAGAGACCCCTCCCAGAGCTACAGTTGCCAGAGCACTTTAACAATCAACCCCTCTTCCCAGGGAACTCTGAGAATTGTAGTTCTGTGAGGGGGAATCAGGGTCTCCTAACAACTCCCAGGACCCTTAACAGACTACAGTTCCTGGGATTCTTTGTCGGAAGTGATATGATACAGCTTGAAATGTATAGTGCATAAGGGGCCTCAGAGACAGGTGGCATCACAAGGACAAAAGTACTGGAAGGCCTCAGATGATGACCTAGGCAAGCCTTCCCTGACCGAGTGCCTTCAAGATGAACCAAAATTTCCATCAGCCACAGGACACTATGGCCACATGGTCTACTCTTGGCACATCTGTGTGGGTTTTGTATTCCAAACATCTGAAGGGCCCCAGGTTGGCAAAGGCTGACCTAAGCAATCAGATGCTTCTATTTGGGAAATGTGTAATTACTAGGGATTTTAAAAGAGCGCTAATTGTACTTATTTCTCTGGGTGATGATTCACAGGTAGATATTGTTGAATGTCACGCTTATCTATCGTGGATCGTTAGAACTAAGGATCTACCCTGCAATTACTCCACATTATTTATTTTTTAAGAGAAAAAATACAACAAAGTTTCATAACTGCATTAATCTCCCAGCAGGCGACTCGGCAATTAAGCCTTCAATGGCATCTCAGCATTTAACTGCCGTTGCCTTCAGATCTCGCACTGAAAATGCAAGCGCTTCCACAGCAGCCCGGCTGGATGTTTCTATGGCATTGACCAGGACGACACAAAGGGATCGATACTTGCAAAGATGCTATTACAAGGTCTTTTAGAGCCTGTGAAAAGATCCAGAGCTCAGACACTTCTGATCGGTACTTTTTTCAGCCGGGCCTATTGATATTAGTAGCTCATTGCCAACATTCAAACGATTCTGTGATTAACCATCTTTTGTCCAAAGATCAATCTCTCTTTGACACCCCACCCCCCACAACCCATCTCTCCTGCAAGCAGCACATTCTGCTTCTCGATAATGCCTTGTTTACAAATATTTATCAAGCCTCATGCCTGAATTCAGCCTCAAAGAAAGATGGGAAGGCAGGCTGTGTCCGGAAGCCACCTTTAGGCTTCAGGGAGTGCTGAAGTCAGAATGCAGGAACGAACATAGGGAGCTGGATTAAACCATTGATCCACTGGCAGCAATGGCTCTCTAGGGTATCAAACAGGGAGTCTGTGTGACTCTGCAGCAGGAGACTGTGTGGTAGTGCCACTCAAGCCTGTGGAAAACTGTTGCCTGCGGATGCATGCAAAGCAGATCAGGAAAACAATGCAGCTCTGAAGAACAGGGCAGGGCATCTATGGCCTCAATAGAACAAAGCAGCGGCTTTTCTTGAGCAGGGCTGGGCGATATATCAACATATCGTCCACAGTGGCGGAGCATATGTCTGTGCTGCCCAGGGTGGGCGCGCTCCCAGGGGGCGGGGCGCAGAGGGTGCCCTCCCACGCACCACAGTTCAGGGTAGGAGAGGGGCAGGGAAGCTGCTACTCACTTTCCTCCTGCTCTCCGCAGCCAGGTCAGACATGACCCGGCAAGGGAACTGCTGCGGCTGGGTGCTCCTCGCCACGGCTGAGGAGGGCTGCTGTCTGCCGCCGGGCGCAAGGTGTGCCGCCCACTCACCTGCCATTTTGTCACCCCCCTCAGTCATGACACCTGGGGCGGAGCGCACCCACCGCACCCCTTCCTACGCCTCTGATGGTCCAAAACCCGTTTGAAGTCCATATTGTGATACCGGTATCAGGTTTTGACCTGGCAAGATATCATGAATCATGATGTGTGTTAGGGCTGGGCGATATATTATCCCAAACCCAGTTTCAAGTCCATCTCATGATATTGGTTTCGTAATTTTTGACCTGGCAATATATTGCGAATCGTGGTGTGTGCAGTGCAAAAAACACAATGTGGTGAAAACCATGAAACCAGTCAATGCCCCATCCTTATTTCATACATTACATCGGTATATTGTGATGTTTAGCTGGTGATATATCGCAATGTTGAAAACCACAGGTATCACCTGGCCCTATTCCTGAGCTCTCCCTTTCTCCAGGCCAGGAACAGACAATGAGTCAATTGCTCCCAAAACAGGTCAGCCAGGGCCCTCTCAAAAGGCATTCAGTTCACCCAGGTCTTCGCTGCTCCAACTGCTTCAGGTTCCTTTGTGCTTCCTCCACAGAAAGGAGGATCAGCACTCACTGATTTTATGACCACCAGGTCAGTTTGTGACCAAGGTGAGATGGGAACACTAGAACATACCGGTAATAGGAAGCTGCCTTATGACAAGTCAGACTTCTTGGTCCATCTAGCTCAGCACTGTCCACACTGTTTGACAGCAGCTCCTCAGGGTCTCAGGCAGGCAGCTTCTCCTGAATGGAAGTGCCAGAGACCAAAACTGGGACCTCCTGCAGGCAAACAGATACTCTACCCTTCTCTTAAGGATGTAGCAGCTTGCACTCTTCACCACGACACCGTGTTTTGAGGACACCACCACCCCTCCCCACGTTGGTGTTTATAAACCACCAAGTCTCCCAGATAAAAGGCTCCAGTCTCCAGCAGACAACAGACAACAACTCCTGGCAAAAATGTCTTCATTTTATTTCAACACAAACCAAAAACTGGGGGAGGGAAGAGAAGTTCAAATTGCTATGCAACTGAATTTCTCGTCAGTCGAGGCAAGTGGGTCACTCTCCTCTACCGGAGGCAGCAATGGCTACTGATAGCCTGCTAGTCTAAGGATGGTAGGGTATCGCGAACGATGGGCCATGCATTTCTGCCTGTCAATAAAGATGCTGTTGGCCTTCACGGCAATCTCCTTCTCCAGATTCATCCGAGAGTCTTCGAGGTTGCGCAGAGCCTGCTCTGACTCCAGAAGCTTCTTCTTGAGAGCCTCAATGGATGCTGTCAGTTCTTCGATTTCACTGACCAGCCTGGATAGTGTGAAACAGAGCAACGGATGTCAGGGGTGCAGGGATTACTTTTCCAGTTTGGGCTGGAGGAGCGGGTGGTCCAGCCTGCCTAGAAACCACACCATCCAACATTTATTTCACAAAATTTATATGCTGCTTGACTGCAATAAAACCATGATGCAGTTTTCAGAAAGAGTAAAACAAAAAAATTACAGTGAAGGCATCTGCCTGATGTCCATAGGCAGGGAGTTCCAAAGTGAAGACGCTGCCACACTAAAAAAATAAAAAAATCTATTTCCTACAAGTGCAGAATGAGTATTATGTGGTGTTTTAACAGTGTCAGTTTCACAGACTGAAGCAGCTAAGTGGGCATATATGTGGATAAGGCAATCTCTTTTTCTTTTCTTTTTCCCAGATCTGTTAATAATACTTCATTAAAAATAAAATAAAAAATATTCACTTTTGCACATCAAACAAAAAAACAAAACAACTATCCATCACCACAAAGAGAAAGAAGAGGGGGGGAAAGGAAATAAAATTTGATACATCAACTAATATTATCCTAATATTGAAATAATAATCGTCTTTTTCTGTCGACCAGACTTCCTGACTACTCCCCACCTCAAATTCTCATTGTTTATACACTGCCACAAGTTCTATTAAAGTTTGATCATCTTTGATCTGTCTTATCTTTTACATCATACTTAAGACTACTGCTGAAATTATTCAAACACTGCAACTGACCTTAAACTACAATTGTTATTTTTCAAATACGTTTTAAAGACTTCCCATCTTGAAGTAAATACCTGTTTTGGTATGATTTTTATTTTCTCTGACAAGCTATCTAGTTCCGCATATTCGGCCAATTTTTGAATCCATTCTGATCTCGACGGAATTTTGTCACTCTTCCAATTTGTCGCAATCTCACAGGTAAAGTGGCCCCAAGTTGTTAAGGGCTTTATATAGCAATAACAACAACTTGGACAGATAGTAAATGTCTGTCTCTATGTTAACAGCGTCCCACTCCTGTCAGCAATTGTGCCGCAGCATTCTAGGCTAGCGATAGTTTCTGGATCAAGCGCAAGGGACACCCCACATAAAAGTGCATTGGAGTAATCCAGTCTCACATGAAAGAGGAATCCTCTTCATCCAGAGCAGGAGCTTCAGATCTAGACTGGTCAGCAGTTCTCCTTGCCTTTGTTTGCATTTGCCTCTGGACTAAAACCAGCCTATATCGTTTATGGCTCATACAAAATCAATTTTGTAATACGGGGAATGAGAATTGCGAGCCATTTTTGCATGTCTAGCGAACATCTTCTAAGGCCTCCTTAGAGCCGTTCCATGCCTGTTTCTAATTTAGAAGACCGGCAGGTGAAAAGGCATCAAGTAATTTCAGCGTTTTCTTCTCCCTTTTTTCCCCTCTCGCGTGTTTGTTTTGTACAAACATGTTGGTGGTGAGAGACGTACAGTGTTGACAGTCCCCCTTCCCCACCGTCAAACATGTTTGCAAGGTGATAAATGCCCACTTTGTTACTTCTGCACTCAAGAGTTGTAGATAACCTTTCTGCTGTAATGACAGGCCGCAATTAGAAGCACTGCGGTGAAAAGATCGTGTATGTGTGTAGGTTTTTAAGGGATGTATTAGTAATATGTTGCAACTTGGAATCAATCTGTTCTGTACAATCCTGTACCCTAAGTACAGTGTACAGTCTGTCCCCTCGTCCCTCAAGTACCTTTTTGCAAGTGAGTCTGCTAAACAGAACTTAAGAGGAACTGTTAGAATTCTGTCCTACTCATACAAAACTACCACAAAGCACTTGTCTAAACACAGAGATAGGCCCATGCAGATCAGTTTCCTGGTAGCAGCTATGCTGCTTATATAACCAGGTGTAGTGTGTTTGTATCAATGACCTGTTACTATTTCTTCAGCAGGATCCCAACAAGGTCCCCGTCTCCAGTATCCTAGAACCACTCAACCAGCATGAAAGGGGAGCTTTTTCATCCCCAAGAAGATAACTTTCCGCCCTTTGTTCTGACAAGAGCCAATCAGAGTAAAGGAGGTGAGTCAGCCTCTGAGGATTGGCTCCTAGGGTCCCTCTGGAGAAGATGCACAGGAAGAACACCAAAGAGTTGTTATACTGTAGGCTCCAAAGCTAAGTGTTTAGGAACACTGGCAACAAAAGGGGCTCCAGTTTTAAGGGACTGGTGTGCAGGTTCTGTTATGTACAATGGAACTTCAAGGAAAATTAAGTCATTCCAAAAGGATGTATTGGAGCACTCCGAATCATTTGCCCACATATAGGCACAGAAACTAGTAGATCTAGCTGAAGGGCAACACATGGAGATCTGAATAGAACATTGCAATGCCTTCCAAGTTCTTACCATTGTATATTTTTAATATTAATATGAATTCTGAGAAGGGGCTGTGAGGATGAGTGGCTGCGATGATCACGAAGGGATCCCATATTCTTAATTTGCTGCTACACCATTCCATGTAACATCTGAATCAAGCTGGATAGTGAGTGGCCCATCCTTGGACCTGATCTTCTTGGGCAGTTTGAGAGCCGAACTGCGCATCACTTTAGAGTTCCCCGATCAGATCTGCTGGTGCATTTTGTTCCATCAAACGACACCCAAAGTAGGCCATGGTTTGATTTAAGGTAGAGCTGCCATACATTACAGGGATTTCAAAGGCGGAATTGACATCTGGGGAGGATTTCTGAAAGGTGGTGCTTTTGGTGTTTTTGTAATAAATTTTAAAAACTCAAAAAAATGGGGTCACCCCACTCCGCAACTCCAGCCCAGTCCTCCCCTTCGGAGCTGCTATTCGTCATGGCTGGGCCAGCAAAGCAAAAGCGCTTGAAATGAAATCAAATGAATCTGTTTCTGGCCTCTTTCATATTTTTACCCATAATTCCATTCTGCCCTATATCCACAATAACCTATGAATTATTTTAAAACTATCAGCATATTTTTTGAAAAATAGTCAAAATATGTGTTAGTGTATTTTCTCTCCAAATGAGCTTTTACTATTCTCTCTCTAAAAGAAGTGTTTTAAATGGGCTTCTCCCCCCCACTTTGATGTATATTTAAAGGCATTTTTCCAGAATTCATGTTTAAATGCATATTTTCTCTGAAAATGGGACTTAAAATTCTTATCTCTCCCATATACACATTTTTCTTGCAAAAAGGAATATTTAAGTTGCTGAGAGTCATGTTACCACGTTCAGAGAAGTGCAAGATCTGCTGGGTAATTCTATTCCAACGTGCACATTAGGTTAGTGAAAATTAGGTTATTTCACAGAAAAACTAGCACAGATTTTTTAAAATAAAAAAAATCCCTCAAGCCCGCCCCCCCCCCCCGGCTGGAACAACACTTACCTAAACTGGGCGGTGTCTCTGCAGAGATCCACATTGGGCCTGAATGAACGGTCATAGAGCCTCGTCTGAGCTACCTTGAGTGGAGTTTCCTTGTCTTTAATAGCTTGCTTGAGAGCTTCAATGTTGTGCTCTTGATCGCCAATTTCCTTAAGAGTCTGTTTTAAAATAATTAAAATAAATAATAATAATTTTATTATTTATACACCACCCATCTGGCTGAGTTTCCCCAGCCACCCCTGGTGGCTTCCAGCAGATATGCAAAAAGGGGAGGGGGACACTTTAGAAATACTTTGGGGCGTGTTTAGATTCCAAGTCTTTTATACACAAAGTACCGTATTTTCCCGTGTATAACACGCCCCCGTGTATAAGATGACCCCTATTTTTTTGGGACTCCAAATTAAGGAAATGGGGGGAAATTGTCAAGAATTGCTGAGCTTTCGGGGGGTATTACAGACAATCGCTCACCCGTCTGACTGCCGCTGCCAATCGCACGCCTGGCCGAAGCCACTATTTGGCATGCCCGCTCGTCGCCAGCAGCCACAAATCGCCCAAAAAATTGCCACCACAGCAGCCAACCACCAGCAGGCCACCAATCACCCGCCCAAGCACCGCTGACAATCTCCTGCTCGTGGCGGACACCAATCACCCATTCCCCCCTCTGCACTATCCGTGTATAAGACGACCCCCTCGTCTTAAACACGGAAAGTACGGTAAATCTGCTTGGTGTTGGTGATAAGTCAATGCTGGAGACAGAGTCAACGCTTCAATTAGAGAAGCTGTTCTGAAAAGAAGGAGGATACCGCAACCCTTCAAATGGAAACTAATTTGCAGGTGTAAAGTGCACTGGCTGTAGCTTTGTCAGCGGCCTGGTTCTCACCTAACACTAAACCACAGGTTGCCAACATGCCCACTACCGCCTCCTATGGTGCCCACTGGGGACCCCCACCTCCCAGGAGAAATTTTGCTCAACTTGCCCAAACACTTATTTTCTTCCCTCCAATCTCCCTGTGTTTCTCCTCATTTGAATCTCCCTTGAGGTGAATGCTGGATGGAGAGCAGGGGGAACGTCAGCTCTACCAGAGAACAATATGCTCCTGGCCGGAGAGCAAGACAAAGGAGGGGGCGTGGAGCAATAAATATCAATTTTACCTTTGTACAGTAGGCTTGTTTCCACACACACACACTCCATCCTCCATCAAAGCAAGCAAGGGGCATTATCAGAGTTCGACGACGCACATTCCAGCCAAGCAAAAGCACTCAAGGAGGATGTGAAGCAGGCCCAGTGAGGGCCTGTGGCCTAGGGACAGTTCTACGGGCCACATTGAGGCCTTAGGTTTCCTAGCCCTGCTTTACGGCATGCCTGGGCTAGTGCCAAGGGCCAGCCTAGTCAGGTATCTGTCAAGCTGCCACTGTCAATGTCATACCCTCCAACATGTTGAGTCCCCAAACCGGAACACGCGTCTTCCTGTCTGTGCTCCCGTGTGAGATCACAGAGCCCAAAAGGACACGCTTTTTCTAGGACTCAAAAACTCGTGTTCTTGAGACGAGATCGGGGGGCGCTAAATCGTGCGAGATCATGGCACCCAAAATGGCTGTGCTCTCACAGGGGGAAACAGGATGTCCTCGTTTTTCCCCAGGACACTTGTAGGGCATGTCTCCCCCTGAAGAAGTAGATTCACTGAGGGAAGCCGCCTTGCTCAAGCAACGCCCCCAAACCCAGTGCTGATATTTGGAGTGGACCAGTCCAGCAAGCTTCTCCCGCTCTGGGCCATAGCAAAGGGGCCGCGTACTTTCTTCAGGTGGTGCTCCAGTTTGTGCTTGGCGTCCTCCAACACCTCCAACTGCTGGGCAAAGGCGTCGTTCACCCGGTTGCACTGCATGCGGAGGTCCTCAGCCGTGTCGCGGAGGATGTTGTCGATCAGGGCACGGAGATTGATGGACGCCAGCTTCTCTCGCTCGGCCCGATAGATGTTGTCGTGGCTGTGCTTGGCCCACGTCTCGGGCGTGGAAGCGCTGTGGCATGGGCCCGGGGAGGAGCGGCGAGGGCAGGAGGAGATGGGAAACAAAACGGTGAGCGTCACAACGTCCGCCATCTCCAAACGGGGCTAGGGGATGTTTTGTCAGACTGAGGGCCATGTTCCCTTCTTGTGGGGAGCGGGAATGCCACATGGCAGTGGCGGGCAGGGCCCAAAGCAAACGTGGGCAAAGGAAATGATGCAAACATTGCTTATGTATAGTAGGCTAGCTTCTACACAGATGTACACACTGCTGTCTCTCCTCAGGTATCCTCAAGATTCAAGGACACATTCCAGCCTGGCAAAAATCAAGGAGGCCTGAGGAGATTTCCGAGGGCCAGACAGAGATGTTCAGAGGGTGGCATTTGGGCTCCACTCCTGGACTGCAAGTAAAAGATAAAAAAGGTAAAGGAGCCCTGGACAGTTAAGTCCAGTCAAAGGTGACTATGGGGTTGTGGCCTCATCTCACTTTCAGGCCAAGGGAGCTGGCGTTTGTCCACAGACAGCTTTCTGGGTCATGTGGCCAGCAGGACTAAATCGCTTCTGGAGCAACGGAACACCGTGATGGAAGCCAGAGCACACGGAAATGCCATTTACCTTCCCGCCACAGCGGTACCTATTTATCTACTTGCCCTGACATGCTTTCGAACTGCTAGGTTGGCAGGAGCTGGGACGGAGCAATGGGAGCTCACCCCATCACAGGGATTTGAACCGCCAACCTTCCAATCGGCAAGCCCAAGAGGCTCAGTGGTTTAGACCACAGCGCCACCTGCGTCCCATCTTTGGGACTGCATCTATCTGGACTGCATCTATGGGGCATTCACATTTAAGAGACTGTGTATGGTTCTGCTCACCTCACCAGGGATGGGGACGATGTGTTTGGTAAATTGTTGGACTTTGGGGAGACCCAGGTTCGAATCTCTACTCAAGCTGTGAAGGTCACTGAGCAGCCTTCATCCTGTAGAGGTTAGTCCATTGGGATGAGTGGGCCCAGCAACCTCAGCCTGCCCCGCCCCCACCTTTCTTACTTGCAACCAGTTCAGTGGGGCAGCCCTCCCTATCAGCCCTCTATAGCTTCAATTCTGCCTTTGTACAACTCAGCAGAGGGGATAGTTACAAAACAAGAATTAGTTGGCTCTGCCTGTCATCAGCTTTGGCGCCACCTGCTGTTGGTCTCCTGGCATTCCCTCCTACCAGTGGGCTCCAGCGGCCACTGCAAGTATCTCTCAACTATACAAATGGTGACACCTAAGGGTGGATACAATGGATTCCTTACTCTGTGCCGCCTTCCTTCCCAGGTGTAGGGGATCCAGAGGTTCTCACCTGTCCTCAAACCTTGATGTGCTGGGATGGAACTGGATGTTCGTGCTCTGGTTATTGTACCTCCCACATTTCTCGTCAATGTTGTAAGTTTCAACTTTGTCAGACCAGTCCATTTCACAGATCTCCTTGTGATCTCGATTTAATCTGCAGAATCAAACACCGCAAAGCTCAGAACGGAGGGGGGCCTTGAAAGCACACCCCTTCCACACCATTCACCTTTGTTTTGTGGGCAAAATGCAACCTACACACCCAATTTTAGTCAGCCCAAGAAAACCTTGTGAAGATCAGTTCCTCAGAGATTTGTGTTTCAGAGAGCAGCCCATCTAAATAGGTACTGAATGCCTAACAGCAGCCTTGCCCAGCCTAGCATCCCTCCAGATGTTTCGGACTACAAATCCCATCAGCCCCAGACAGTGCTGCCGTGTTTAGGGTTACAACTCCCATCAGCACCAGCCAGCATGGCTGAGCTTCCAGAATTGTATTCCCATACCCTCCAATAACAGACCCAGAATTACGAAAGCCAATCCGATAGCTTTGATCCCCTGCCAGCGCCTCCAAGCTCAGGGAGGCGAATGAACCGGCCCTTGTCCAAAGTGGCAGTGGCAGATGCGAGGGAGCATCTCGTTGTCTCTCCATGGCTGCTGCTGCCACCCTCCTCCCTTGGGCAGCTTGTAGTGGTTGCTGGAGAGCGGGCGAGGAGGAGGAGAGGCTGCTGCCGGCAAGGCCCAGACCCACATAATGCATTGGCTCTGAGGGGCAGGACCAACCTAGGTAGGAAGAAAGGTGGAGCAGAGCGCAAGGAGTCTTTATATATATATATATATATATATATAACTTTGTGCATCCGCATTTAATCTTGCCCCTTTCTAAAATTTATTTCTTGGCGTGTGTTCTTCTTTTTGCAATTCTACCAAAGAATAAATAAGATAAATTGGAGATGAAAAGGTTTTCTCAGGATGGTTGATGACATATGTGCTGTGTCCCATTCGTGTTGCGTGCTGGTGGCCCTCACCCATCTTCTGATAGGAAATGCTCAGAGAAGGAACACAAAATGGAGGAGTTTGGATTTGATATCCCGCTTTATCACTCCCCTTCAGGAGTCTCAAAGCGGCTAACAGTCTCCTTTCCCTTCCTCCACCACAACAAACACTCTGTGAGGTGAGTGAGGCTGAGAGACTTCAAAGAAGTGTGACTAGCCCAAGGTCACCCAGCAGCTGCATGTGGAGGTGCAGGGAATTGAACCCGGTTCACCAGATTATGAGTCCACTGCTCTTAACCACTACACCACACTAGCTGGTCAGTTGGGGAGGGAGTAAGAAATGCCCTTATTTTCATCCAAGGAATGTTGGAAGGGATGTATTCCCCAAGATATCTGCAGGACACCAGAATGGAGAAGGTTACCTAACAGCGAGAAAATGTTGGAGAGCCCTGAGATTTGCCTTCATACATACAGTACCTTATTTCAGGAGCACATGGTTTGACACCAGTTCTAGGAAAAACCCTTCCATTTAGATCCCCATGGGAAAAGTTGCTATTCACAGATAGATTTCACTGTTGGATTCGAATCCCAGTGAATATTCAAAAAAGGCCCTTTCCTTCCATCTCTCCATATGACACCTGGTGGCAGTTCCAACCCAGAATGTACAAGCCATCAGCCTTAACATTACGTTATGCAATACTGAGAACATTTCAGACTGAAATGCTCATCCAAGAGCAAAATCCATCCTTGACACACGCTCAAGTGAGTGCAATTAAAAGTAATTAGAACATAATTTGAGAAAGGCAAATCAAGTAATTCAGGGTACACATCAAGATCTCACTTTACATAAAAATTAGAGACAGTCATATTTGCCAAGAATGTTAGAAATGTTTAAAAAAAGTGTCTGGGAACAGCCAGCCAGGCAGGTGCAAAATGAGGCAGAGTTTTTTTATTCTGCCGACAAGGGGAACCTGTGACCCTCCTGGTGGCTAGACTACATCTCCCATCATCCCCAGTCATTGGCCAGGCTAGCTGAGCTGATAGGAGCTGTAGTCCAACAACATCAGGAGGGCCAAAGGTTCCCTGCAGACTTATTTGCAAGGCAAACCCACACATTTGTGCTATGGGACAAAGGCATTATGCCGCTTAGGAGACCAGAAACCACCAATTCTGCTTCAAGTTTCTAGTTCTTTGCATTTTTCCAGGATGCCCAAAGGGGGAGCTGTGTTCTTTCCTCCAGCAGTGCTACACACAAGTTTCATATATTTTACTGCAGTGGGAGAGGGACACAGGCTCTGCCGTGGATGTTACAAACAAGCAGGGGGACAGGAAGCTTCAATCATGGATGATATTCTTCCCCGAAACCATCCCTTTCCATATTATCCAAAGCAGTTCTGCAGCTTGCCTGTGTGTATTCTTGTTTCTTAGTTCATAGTGCCATCTGGTGGCAACTATAAGAACACATTTTCCCTGTAAAAAGATATACAGTGTTTATTATAAAGGAAATCGAACATTAGGATGGGGCTAGTTTTGGCTCAGTTTGGTAGCCAACCAACTATGCTCTTACCATGAACTTATCCACAGCTCCAGAAGGAGGGGGACAAGGTCTTATGGCATTACACTAAGCTGAAGACCCCGTAGATGTAGGAACACAGCCAGCTCAGAAGGAACTGGGCTTTGTACACTTGATACCAGCATCCCTTAATTGTGAAATACCCCAGTATTTCACAGGCAGGCAAGGGGGATATGTACTCTGCACAACAGCCAGGCAGCTGCATTCTGCAACAGCTACAGCTACCAGGCTGCTTCCAAGGGCAGCTCCATGAAGACTAGATTGCAGCAGTCCAGACAGGAGGTTATTCATGCATGAATCCCTGAGGCAAGTCTACTGTGGTCCACTAAAAAGTCTCATGCCAATCAATGATGCAATGAACCATTAATCTCCTAGGACTCTGGTAACACGCAGATAGATTTGTCTTGTTATTATCATTGTTTTATCATCACAATCACAACCATTTGCAAAGCAGTTCGCACACTTATTAGTTAATTAGTTCAATTCTACGCCCACCTTGCTTCTATCATGAATTGAAAGCTGGTGTGTGTGTGTCTGTCTGTCTGTCTGTCTGTCTGTCATTTGGTCTCCCATCTAGACAGTGACCAGACTCAGAACTGCTTAGCTTCAGAATGCTGGCTGGACTGTGCATCACCAGCCTCTGCATAGGGGCACATGATACCAAAGTTACAAGACATCAGTTCACACCCACCACCCTCTGCAGAGCACAATGCTTTGATTTTCCTCCCGATTGATCACATGTTACACCAGGACTAGGTTCAAGAGTTAGTTAGAACACCAGCAACCCGCAACAGTGGAAAGGGATCTTACTGTATCTGGTTAATAGCTTGCTTCAGAGTTCGTTTCAGTAGCTCCTGGATGTTTCTGATGAGCTCAGCTTCCTAGATAAAAGCAGTAGAGAGATTAGCAGCTGGCTGCGGCTGCTGGGAGTTGTAGTCCAAATCATCTGGAAGGCACCAGGTTGGGGGAGGCTGTCTTATAGGAACTGCCCAATCTTCTTCTCTGGGTGCCCCAAACTTCCAAAGGTTATGCAATAGCCATTCCAGTTTGGGCATTCAGTGCCCTCCTCCCAACCAGGCACCAACGTGAGTGTCTTTTAGATATCATATTAAGGCTATTATATTCTCCAAAGCTGAACTGTGCTTCTTCTATTTTTCACTTGTTTTGTATGGAGAAATAAGGTGCATTCAGCCACAGGAAATAATTGCATTAGTTTTCCTGATATAACACTAGCCCTTCTGTCCCATTTCCTAATGTTCCTTCCACACTGCAGTGACGGCTGTGTGATGGAACTGTGGCTTTTTGACCAATATGCCAGCATTTTGCGCCAAATTTCATTCACACCAGTGGGAGTAGTGTGGCACAACAATAAATGTCATTGACAAGATTGCCCCACCTTTTCTGCACATGCCTCCATCTCTCCCCGCTCCCCAGAGGACAAAAGCACTTCAGGAGTGGCAACAGGGCCTGCCCTAAACCACAGCCCTTGTGACATGCCCCCGTCCCCAAGCTCTGGACCAACCTGGCAGTGGGCCAGGTAACATGTGGATCTGGGAATGGGGGGTTCACTTCTCTTCCGGACATAGTGCTTCCCGTAGGCAGGTTTTAAATGCATGCAAATATACACACTGGTCTCTATTTGACTGGCAGCATCTCTCTAGGGTGTCAGGCAGGGAATCTCTCCCAGCCTCACCTGGAGATGTCAAGGACTGAACCTGGGACTTTTTAAAGCTTTGGCTGCTTCCTGTTAGGGACATGGGATATATAACCTTACATCGAGTCAGACCATCAGTCCATCTAGCTTAGTGTTGTTTCCACTGACTGGTAGCAGTTCTCCAGGGGCTCAGACAGGAACCCTACCTTCTTGAAGATGCAAAGCAGGGGCTCTTCAACTGAGCTGTGATGCTTCCCCAAAAGAAATGAGGCCACAACAACATTTCCCCTTGAGAGCCAGTGTGGTGTAGTGCTTAGAGTGATCGCAGGGGCCAGATCAGGGGGAAGCGGTCCTTCATGTCCTGATGTTTTATCGGTCCAAACCAACCCCTTGTCCTGAGCCCAGAATGAATAAGGAAATGTCCTACCTTGAGCAACTCCACCTCCACCTGGTCCCTCACCAGATCGGGAGGCTGCCGGCGCTCGCGGCACTGCAGGTTGTCTGTGGCGATGCTGTACGGGATCTCAGTAGCGTCGAGGGCCCTCTCCAGGCGCAGCTTCTGGGCTGCCAGCAGGTTCGTCTCCTCCGTGAGGTCCTCAATCTCCCTCTGGAGCTCTGACTTCCAGAAGTGGATGTCCTGGAGGCGTTCGCCTACCTTAACGGTGGAGTCCTCCTGGGTGCGCTGGGCCAACTCCGCCGTGAAGGCGGCCACGTTCTGAGACTCGAGGCGGACTCGCTCGGAGTGGTCACGGTCAGCAAAGGCCTCGTGGTACCGGGTGTAGTTGTGCTGGTGCCATTCCTCAGGCAGGTACTTGGCCGTGCGGAAGCCAGCGGTAGCCAAACCACTGGAGGAATCGGGGCCAGTGTTCAACGCCGGCTCGTAGACCTTCATGGGCAGCTCGCAAACGGGGATGGTCTGAGGAGCCGGCTCCTTGGTCAGGAGGATACCAGGGTGAGACATGGTGCCAGTAGCTCTTCAGGCCAACCACGGGTCCAAGAGAACTCCACACAGAGGATTCCCCCAGCCAGGAAAGTCCCCAGGCTCACTGGGGATGCTCACCTACTACGAGAAAACTGCAAAGCCTTGCTGAGGCTCCGTGTTGTCCTGTTGCCCCTGGTGACGCCTGAAGCCAATGAGCCACGTGGGGAATGTTCCATTAGGCCTGACACAGCCTCTTGTCGCCTAGGGAGACTGCAGCGAGCCAATGGGGCGACAGGGCTGGGAATATCATTTGCAAAAGAATGGATTCTGGAGCTGAGCCCCCAGTGCACTAATCCATGTGGCTACAAATTGCCCTGTTAGTAAAATCAAAAATATAGCAGCATCATAATCATTTCAGCTTTGTTTTTCCTTGTGCTGTAATTACAATGGGACTTCCCGCTGTTGTCCTCAATTGCTTTGCAATTGTTTTAGTCAATTTTTTGTTATTGCTTAATTTCATCTTACAAAACCCTCCCCCTGGAATTAATTTTAATCAAAGGGCAGTATTTTAAAAAATAGATCTCGTCTCAAGGCTCTGAACTCACAGGAGATCTTAGGCAAGCAGTGGGGAAACTTTCTCAACCTAGACCCTTCTGAGGGGCACGTGTCAGTGGCAAAAAAAAAAAAAGGTGAAGCATCGGCTCATAGAATCAGAGCTGGACATCAAGTGGGCAGCAGCTGTAGCACATGATGAAACTGAGGTGGGGAAAACAAAGCTGTCATAGTTTATGGCTGTCTCAGGGCCTAGAAACATCAAGCCCAGAGTCAGATGTGTTCCTCCAGGCCCCTTTATCTGTCTCCTGGGAGGTATAGGCCACATCCCTCATGGCTTTGCCTGGCTGCACTATGCCACTGAAATGTAAGGAAACCCTTGCTTGCATGCATCGAATGAGTTGCCCCCACTTTTAGCTCCAGCCACTTTTAGCTCCAGCCACCCCCTCCACTGCCATGTGGCTCCCACCACAAGGGAATGTGGATTTGGGGCTGGAAAGGGCCCCCCACCTCTATTGTAGTGTAACTGATGGAGGCACCTCTGTTCATTTCCACTGCTGTCACTTGAAAAGTACATGAATTTACAAAACGTGTGCCAATTATCTGTACAGGATCCTAGTCAACCCATAAAATTGGATTTATTGTTTGGGGGGTGGGGAGAGGACATTTGAAAGAGAAAATTCATCAAGTCTGATAGGGAGAACAACCTAAGCATCAAATGTCACTAAATCCAATATTGAACAACTTTCAAAAACAGACACATCCATTAAATTGGAAACTTAGTTATTGAAATATATTAAGTGCTTTCCTGTGCAAAGCAAAATAGTTTGTTCGGGGATCTGCTGGAGGCACAGCAATCTTCAAGCAGTCCAAGGAAGGTTTAAAAATGGAGATTGCTGGTCTATATCAGACCAGCTTTCCAGGGAACAGGTCTTCTTTGTTTTAGACCAGCATTTAGCTGGAAATGCAAGGGACTGGACAGGAGACCTGCCTGCAATACAGGTGGCTCTACCACTGATTGATGAGACCATTGCAGTCAGACCACTGGTCCAAACTCAGTGCTATCCAGTGAGAGTTGTTCTGCAGGATTTCTGGCAGAGGTCCTTCACAGCCCTCTCTGGAGATGCCATGGGTTAAGAAGGTACCAGGTACCTTCTGCTTGCAAAGCAGGGGCGCTACCAAGATAAGGCTCTTCTCCAGGGAACAAGTTTGGTATTTTTGTTTTAATGCAAAGGGTTTTGTTTATTCACAACTTCCATTTCAAGCAGCAAATGAAACAACTTGTTGCACCAGACCAAGTATTTCCAGCTAACATTTGTAGGATAAATGGTATCAGAAGAGTCCTAGTTAATGTATTTTGACAGCTGCCCACAAGGTGGTGCTTGAAGTACAAATCCTATCAACATAAATGGAGGCTTTTTGGACTTTTTGCTCCCATCAGTCCCAGTATGCACAGCAGCATATTCCTCCGGCTGATGGGAGTTGTAGTAAACCATCTTGGAGAATACAAGTCCCCTTTTTTGGGCAGTCTGCGGGTAAACACAATTGTCTGGCCAAGTGGTGAGAATTTGCAGACCAGTTTGGGATTTATAGAGAGGAGTGAAGATAGTTATTTCCACCCCTACTTGGAGATGTCTGTCAAGTAATACTCATGTCAGCTTAGCTGACAACTCTAGCCTCCCCTACGGCTTTTTTGAATTCTACAACTCTACTGGCACAATAGCTGGGGGCAACTGGGAGGATTGGAATGGATTATTACAATGTGCTTTCAGTGGAGCTGGCCTTGCAAATGATGTGAAAACTTCAAGGGGTTCAAAAGGCAGCTGCCACAAATATAATCCATTTAAAACAGCTGCATTGCTTGCCAGTTCATTTCCGGGTCTAATTCAAGGTGCTCAGGTTAGTGTTTAAAGTCGTAAAAGTCTTAAGCCTCAACTACCTCCTTCCCTACAGACTATTTCAGGTGTTAAGATGATCAGGGTGGGAGACTAGTTTCACCACCCTCAGAAGCTCAGGCTGTATGGCTCCAGAGTGCCTTCTCTGAGGCAGCTCCTAAATTGTGCAACTCCCTCCCTACGTAGATGCATCTAGCAACATCACGACAGCTTTCAGACAATGCTGACAGCAAGTATCTTTACCTTGGCCTTTGCCACCCAATATATAAGTCTACCTTTATGTGACTGCGTGTTTTGTAATTGCAAATTTTTAAAGGTGTTTTTAAGGTTGTATTGCAAAAGTCTGTAACCCACCCTGGGATCTTAAAAGTGCAAGCAATAAACTAAACAGTAATAATTCCTGTTTGAATGGGCTAGCACACTGCCTGCAGCCCCAGTGGTAACAGCAGAGTGGCTCAGCACCAATGTGACTTTGTGGGTCTAATGACCCCCTCAAATGCCAGGAGAAGGGGCATCACATAGAGGGATCCCATTTCTGGCTTTGCAGGGTGGACTAAAGGGGACATGAATTCCTTTTGTGTTCTTAAGTCCGGACAGACAAATCAATTCACTTGTTTGGAGAAAAGGAGAAGGGACAGTAAGTCAGATTCCTTGGAATCTGGGAAAGGGCTCCAGCTCAAAGGTCAAGCATGAGCTGCCTGCAGCAGGTCCAGTCATCTCCAGGAAGCTGCCTTATACCAAGGCAGGCTATTTGTCAATCTCGCTCAGAACCATTTACACTGAGTGGTCGCAGCTCTCTAGGGTTTCAGGCAGAAGTCTTCTCTCAGCCTTACTTGGAGAAACCTGGGATTGAACCAGAGAACCTTCTGCATGCAAAGCAGATGCTCTATTACTGAGCAATGGCTCTTTGCTGCAGCTGGGAAAGCACCCCCCACACACACACACACAATCTCAAAAACCCTGGCAAACTGCAGTAGACTATAGAGATTATGAACCTGTGGCCCTCTGGATGCTGCACTAACTCTAAAAACCCCAGGCAGCACAGCCAACATGTCTTGGTAGTTCATCTGGATGGCTACAGATTCCCCATCACAGGTATAGACAATACTGAGCTGAATGAACCAATGGTCTGACTCCATACGAAACAACTTCCTACACTCCTGCAAGAAAAATGGGGGTGGGGGTGGGGGTGGTGTTGATTTAGGTCATAAATGACACACAGGCAGCATAGCAGTCTGGAGTTGCTGAGCCAATTCATGGGTTTTCTCTTGCATACATTTGCACTGAACCAGTGAATGAGTGATTAAGATTAGAAGCAGTTGCTGACCCAGAAGTATTACTTTAGGACATAATCCACACTTTGGCCAAATACAAGGCTAGTTGTATGTAATACTTGCCCGGAAACACAGAATATGTTTACTCGGCATGAACACAGGACCCCCAGCAACTGGGCTTAATCTTTAATAAAAAGTTTTTTTAAAAAAAAAGTTTCCCTTGCGAAGGCATTCTTAAAATCATGCAACCAATGGCAGCTGGTCTTGGAAACCAGAGAGGTGGCCATCCAAGTAAGTCTGGTAGGAGCATGGGGGCAGGACTAGAACACTACATGTATTCTTAGTGCAGAAATACCTTTTCTTGGTGCAGAAATATCTTCAGCATGGAGGCTACCCAGTGCTGATGACTTTGCTGTAATTTGGTGGAAGGAAATGGAGGTCCGTGTGCAACTGTGTCAAGAGCGATTCTGAATTCCACACCCATGTACTATAATGCCACACGTGGCCTAGCAAAACCTGGGTTCAAATTCCTAGTCCTGAAATTCACCCAGAGGCCATGGGCATGTCAACTCTTACTCCAAACCTCACAGGGTAGCTTTGAGGAAAAAGCCACCACATACACAGGCCTGGGCTCAGGGAGAAGTCTACAACTTGCTCAGAGAAGTCTACAACCAAATGTGAGAACTGTCACAATCAATTATCAAGAACAAAAGGTTACCCATTTTAGAAGGAATCCCCTCCCACACACACACTGGATCAGATTTGACAGGGACTTGGTTTCCCCTCCATTCTGCCTATTTTATGGCTTGGGCCAATGGCACTGCCTGTACATGCAACACACAGAGGTCTCTGTTACCCAAGTTGACCTGTGTTTGTGCATCCTACAAGTGAGATGAACTCTCTATCAGGGATGGAGAATCTCCAGTCCGCACTCTACAGGCGAATGTTGGCCCACAAGCCCGTTTCCCCCCAAACTACAACCACCTGTCAATCAGCCATCACTAGGTGAAGCAGATCCCTCCCCGCACTCAGTGGGTGGAACTAACCATCTCACTCGCCTATCATCATTATGCCACATTACTGAAAGGTGGGTAGCTCTGCACACTGGTAAAAGTTGACCTGTAGGGTGAGAACACAGATCTGGCCATCTGGGCCTGAAAGCCTTTCTTCTCCTTTAACAACAGGGACTTTTACACCTGTGCATCTCAAACTATCTGATGTGGTAGAGTGGTACTCCCCACCAGTCAATGTGCCAGATTTCATCCTTGAAGTGTCCCACCCAACTGCATTGTGGTGGAGTCACTGTGGACCAGCAGCTGGTGGCTCATGGTCTGTGAACCACTGCTTCTGGGAAGCATTGTTTTTGCTCAGCCCTTTATAGCTCACTTTCTTCTCATTCCATGAAACTTCTGCTACTTCTACCAAGCAGGGAAAGGATGCGCCGTTACAAAGCAATTCAATCCCAGCCTCTGGGCAGGCAGCTTCAGGACTGCTGCTATTATATTCACAGCCTCAGCGCACAAACACACGTCTGAAAACAGGCAGTAACTGTGAGGAGAATCAGAACTTACAGGATTAAACAGTTCTGTGTGACGTCTCACATTCTGAGGCGTGGTTTGGTTCACATACGGGAATCTTTCTTTGTGTGTGAGTTTCCTTTCGTTTTTGGCTGAGAGACGAAAGAAATGCCTGCTCTCTCGCCGGGACAGATTTATGATGTTTTTCTTCTCATTAAAGGCTGTTAAGAGATTAGCAAGAAGCCTGCGTTCAGTCTGATTTATTATCCACACACAAGGCAACACTTTCTACCGCTGCAGAACTCTGCTACGAACTCTGCTAAGAGTTCAAGTTTTTCCTATCGGCACAAGCGTCCATCAGCACAGGGGAAGTGTGCCGGGCGCCATCTTATCTCAGCAGTAACTGTCCTGCATAACATACGCACAGTATGTTAAAACAATGGTGGCAATAATGTTCATAAAAATGTAATATAAAGTTGGATCATTTGGTCCATCTAGTGTGGGGCGGGTGGAGAACATTATCCACGTTAGCATTGCGGTAGTAACTAACATGGGTAAAGTTAGTTAATCCAGCCCTGGGATCACTTTCCTTATGGGCTGTCTTCCAGGAGCCACAGGCCAGTGGTGGGTGGGCCAGAGGCCAAACTTTTACCTTTGTACAATAGGCTAGTTTCTACAGACATACCTACCTTTCTTTTTCTCTTCCATCCAGCCAAGCAAAGATCATTATCAGAATCCAAGGACACATTCCAGTCAGGTAAGCACACGGGCACTAAATAATGCCAGTGGAGATTGTGGCCTGAGCTTACATCAAGACCAAGATGGAGAGGACCACATTTGGTCCCTGGGGCCCATTGATCTGATGGCAGCAACTCTCCAGCATTTTGGGCAAGAATCTTTGTTAGCCTTACCTGAAGGGCTTGAACTGGGGACCTTCTGCATGCAAAGCATATGCTCTACCACAGAGTTATGGCTGTTCTCCCAATGTATGTGAAGAACTATATAAACATTCTCATGTTCTACATTCAAAACAATACAAATTAGAGCTTTACATTCAGTCACAGCACAGCTAAACACTCTCAGAAGTCTCCAGGACACTGAGAAAACGGAACTATCGGTAATCATTTTCTTCTTCTTACAAGTAGGATTAGTCCTCCATAAATGTGAGATTTTAAACAGGCTATGTTTGACCTCGTTTGAGTTTGGAGATACTTCCCACCCTCTTTTCCGGATGCCTAGAGAAAGCGAAGAGAAGTATTAAAAAACCAAACGAGCTAGGTTGGTTTATTTTGAATTTTATTAGGGTTTTAAAAAGGTATCTATTTCTCCAGCAGGGTAAGTCACATTTGAGGATTGCAGGAGTTCAGTTTCAGACAAAGGAAGAAGAAAAAAAATCAGCTTTGCATTACTTCATTATAGCTCATGTGTTTTAATATTTAAATTGAACTTTTAGTAATATGCAAGCCAAGCTCAGCTTCAATGCAGGATACACTATTATGTAAAATCTGCCCCACATTCATGTTAAGTTTGGTTTACATGGGGAAAGAGATGAGACAAACGTCACTGGAAGGCATTCAAATTGAACCAGGTAAAAATGCGGAACTGCAATCGACTAATTTCCCACCATATCCCAAAGTGCTAAACATGTCTGTTTTACAATAGTCTTATTCTTCCAGAAGTCACAACCAATGGAAATAATCCACACTGGATATTTAAGTTAATTCGTTACACACCCATTTCCCAGATGAGGCCATGATGCAGTCTAGCTTTTTTGTTTGTTTTGGCAGGAGGCTGAATATTTCAACAGCAAATACAAGGGTTTCAAAAAGCAGTAAAAATAAAGTTTGTCGAAAGACTTACAAGCACACACACTATTAGTGCAGCTAGATTATCAAAGCCAGCTTTTCTGTTACCAAAAAGGAAAAAAATGGCACCAAAAATATAAAAAAAACGCTTGACAAATTTTGTTCAGAGGAGCTAGACTGATAGCAAAGCTTCAAAGCATTAATGAACAGAGGAATTATTATATTCTATCTGATAGGGGTTGAGGGAAGAAGAACTCCACACATCAAGATCCACATTTCAATCTTTTCAAACTCATTAAGCGATAAAACAAACGTATCGTATCCTGCTCCAACTAGCATTATGGGCTGGCCCTCACTTAACTACTTTGGAGAAAACATACCACTGATCAGAAAAACCCAGTGTTTAGTGAAGCCCTAGAAAAACCTTCCTCTACTAGTTCTGTACACCTATGAACTAAATCAATTTAGGAGTGAGGGGAGCATAGCAGTGGCAGACGTTATTATGCGACGTTTGTCCATTCCAGGCTGACTGCTACCAAAAATACAAGACTCTGCCCAGTGTTCTGGGCTTCTCAATTAAACAGTCTCCTCCTATGTTTCTGAAGTGCCACTTTTTTTTGGCAGAAAAAGCTGGTGGGTAGTCAGGTTTTTTGCACTGTGGTCTTAAAGTCACTACGGCACATACCAGTGTGAATTCTCACGATGGAAGCTAGTTCTAGACCACATGCAAATTACAAATGTCACACAGAAGCCGTGGTGCACTTTTTTTAGGTCAACAATAGTGAACTAGCAGTACATACATTGGCAACCTTTAGAAAGTGTCGTCTCTGGGTTTGTTTTAAAATTCACGCATAGTATCATGAACTACAAACCTGTAGCCACAAACACCACGTAACTTTAAAAAAAAATTATTTGTTTAGCAACTCCCCCAAGCTGTTTGTATTTTAGCAATACTTAAAAGCTCTACAAAAGCAAAAAAGCAACATGCTTCTTGCAATGCATGTTCCTGGCCTCAGGAAGTTATAAGAGTACCCTGTGGTTCAAAGCAGACTTCTTCTAAATGGTGACAAAAGGGCACCTGTGCCAGGACACCTCAAGGCTGAAAAGGCAGAAAAATTCAAGAGCTACTTGTGACCAGCCAACTAGTCATGCTGTTGCATCCCACGATTCAACAGAGATCCCCGTAGGTATTCGAAGCATAAACAGATTCCCCCCTCCCCTGCCTCACAACAGCCATTTGCAGGGCGCTTCCAGCCAGGAAGATCCACATGCATTTTGAGCTCTCCATCCTGTTAAGTGAAATGGGGAAGTGACCATGGGGGGTGGAGACCTGGGTTTGCATATGCATTATACGGTGTAGAGAGGGTCCTGATGCCGCCTAGCTGGTCAGGCCAAGAAGTTTAAATTGAATTACTTGAAGGCTAGGCTGCTTAAAAAAGCCCCCAGTTATGGAAGCAGAAAGTAGGCAAGACATCATTCCATTCACCACTTGATTAAGACTGGGAAGATCTCAGGAACTAGGCATGGGTGGGGCCATCTGCAACAACTGCCTCAGTTCACACATAACAGTAGCTAAACCATGGCTTAAGTGTGAATAGTTTGAACAAGTGGTGCAAGGGTCCCTGGACTGAAAACAGCAGCCACAGCGCCCTGCCCAAGGTGCCCCGCTAGCCAGGGTTAAGCCATAGCTTGGCTTAGCGTTGCATCCAAATCAGGCCTGCGGTTTTGTCTCTCCCAAAATGAGAAACCAAGAACAAACCATGGCTACAGTTCATGGCTTGTCAGCCCACTGAAAGCCCAGGTTCGGGTGCACCACTAAGCCAACCATGTCTAACTTCACTGGGCAAAGAGAGTAACAGCTGCAATCTGGAACCAACCAGCCCACTTCCTCAGTTGCGCTAAGCCACTGTTCTGACTTACCGTTACATGCAAACTGGGTCACTGTCACCGGTTTCTTTCCCACACAGGTGGAGGAGAATAGCCCTTACATGCTGGTCCTCTTCTAAGCCTCCCTTCAGCATTCTCCAAGGTTCACTTAGCTGATCCAACACACCACATGACTGACATTGAGAAAACATGGTACAGCCAGAAACCTGCTTCACCAAGGATGCCACAGGGTGGCCAGGGTGGCAAGAACTTGGCTATTAGCTCACATTCAAGGCCAGGCCAGCTTAAACCCAAGACTTTTCTTTCAGTTTGCATCTGCTGCATATTGCACTGAAGCCACTGGAAACATTTCAGGATTATCTCCTAGAGAAATTTATTTCATGGGACTTTGAAAACAGTCACATCTTGCCCCTGTTGGAAGACCTGCACTGGCTGACTTTGGTGATTTAAGTCATGTCTCCTTAAGCGGCTTGGAAGTCACACTCAACACAGTGGGAAAACATCCAATATCCTTTAAAAAAACAAAAACTAGTCCCATTCATCCATTTCCTCATCATTCCACAATGATAATTTCTTCACAGGAAGCACACAATACAAGTCATGTAGTACCCAAGCCACCTGTTCGCCAGTGACAGAACATGTTCCTCTGTGGCAATTAATGAAGAATTATGCTGATTGCTAACAAGGGAATACTCAAGTAATAATGGGCAATCAGCTGAAAGACTTCCAATTAAAAGTTCTTGGGCCAGGAGGGTGTGGGAGGTGAGACTGGTGCAGCAGTGTCAGAGTTCTCACACACACAAAGCAAATCCAATGAAGATCCTTTTTAGCACTGATTTAGTTTCCATTGCAGAACCATCGTAGAACCTCTTTACATTACCACACGGCCACCATTAACTGCTTTGGGAACTTAAAAAAGGGTACAGGCCAATACTTAATTATAAATTTGCACACTTAACTATATAGAAATTAATGCGCCCAGTAGAACTTTTAAGAAGAAAATATTTATATATATATATATATATTCAAAAAAAGAAGCCTGCAGGTCTTACATGCCAAGTCATGTTTTTGACACTGTTGTCAAAATGGCAGTACTGTTGAAGCAAGTATTTAAACACAGCAAGAAAAAAAAGGACAGAAAAGCATTTCTATAACCAAATAAATGTCTGATATTTCCTTTTTCCCTTTAAGAGTACAAGTAAGGTCACTTTTTAGCCTTGGAACGGATGCATGTTCTGCCTGCGATGAGCTTGCTAGCTACTACACAACATTGGAAGTCCTCTGCTAAAGAAATCTAAATTTGAAGAAAGCTGTAGTTACGAGAGAAGAATCTACTGTCAGTACGTAAGCTTTCCTTTATGGCAATTATTGAATCTGTGTGACTTGGGAGGAGAGCGCCTCAGGTTTGTTTCCCCAGCAGTAGGTATGCTGCGGATCGAGTGCCTTTAAAGCAGCATGGGGAGGGGGGAAATGAGGAAGAGGGAGAGGTGGGGGTCAAAAGGTTTTGCCATTTAGATCATACGATTGCGTTTATGGGTTGGGGAGTCCGTAATGCCATCACCACACTGGGCTGAGGTACGCTTTCTAGTTCCACCATTGTCCAAGTGGAGTGCCATTTCTTCGGATATGAAAGTGTTCAAGTCAACGTCATGGAGTCCATTTCTCCTTCGGCTACTGTTGGAGCCGCTGCTCACATGAGTGGGTGAGCCCGGGGTACTCGAACGAACACTTATACTAGCCATTGCACCACTAAGACCTGAAGGAAGGAAGGAGAAAGCAGAAATTAGAAAAGAGTCAGCATCCCAAAAAAGCCCCATCAGCCCAACTCCAAAGTTAGACAGCATTTGTCTTAAGGACCGTTCCCAACCCTCATGACCTAAAGATCAGCTCAAAATAGGAAGTCTCCTCCTGCAAAACAGCCTGCAACGTGACTGGCAGAATCAGAAACCACAAGTCACACAGAGCAATGCGTGTGTTTCAATTTATTAACTGAGGCCTAGGGATCTTCAGGTGCTTTATGACTTTTGAGGATCTCCAGAAAGCAGCCCAGTGGGCATAATCAAATCAGTTAGGAACATTAGAAGAGTCCACATACTTTCCACATGCAAGAAGTTCAGAACAAGTTGGGACAAGTTTATGTAAAGTACTTCCTGTGGCCACAAGATCAAGGTCAAAGATTGAATTGGAATTTTTTTTCCCCTTGAAATTTCTCTTATGCAGATTAGGGTAACTTACACTGGAAAATTCTCTTGTGCCCTAATTTAGTATGCTGACATAACAACAGACCTGTTGGATCAGGACAAAGTCCAGCTAGGCTCAACACCCAGTTCTCACACTAGTCAACCAGATATGCCTCTGAGAAGCCTGCAAACAGGGCCCAAGTCTACTTGCATTTAACAAAGCCCAAAACTGCAGAGCCTGCCAAGTATTGTATTCACAATGGCCATTCATTGTTATTAATGAATGCATCAAGCAGAAAACCTTCTTCACACATAAAAAAAGTAATGGAATTTTGGGGAATGGGGATTTTCTGCCCCACATCACTGATCACAACCAATGTCCTAGTCCAGCCTTGAGCCCCCAGATATTGTTGGACTACAACTCCCATCAGCCATCTGAGGACTCAATATTAGAGAAGGCCACCCTAGCCCTCTTAAGGCTTGCACGGATGTGTTCTGCCTCAACCAGCATCTAATGGAAGGTATCATTTCCTGGCCCCCTTTTCTCTTCCCATGTAGAGTGCCAATTCAGGCAAGACTGGGAAGGCGGCCAGGTTCTTGGTTGCCTTGGTAACCACAATGTTATACAAGGGGTTGGGAATTCAAAACATTTTTCCAACTCTGCGTTCTGGTCACTTGCTTAAGCCACAGTACAAGAATTTCTGAATTGGGGGCAGCTGCTTGTTGTCTTTCTGTGGTACTTAGGAATCTGCACTTTTGTTACTTGTCAGAGTGTTAGCGGTAAGGTTCAACAATTATATAAGGGTGATCTGGGTACGTTTATGAGATAGTCACATTGAAGTTGGGTAACACCAAAGTCAGTCATTGCAAAAGCCACAGCTTGTCTACCTAACATCTAAACCAGGCATGGCCAAACTTGGCCCTCCAGCTGTTTTGGGACTACAACTCCCATCACCCCTAGCTAACAGGATCAGTTGTCAGGGGTGATGGGAATTGTAGTCCCAAAACAGCTGGAGGGCAAAGTTTGGCCATGCCTGGTCTAAACCATGGTTATGCTTGCTAGGTATTAATGCTGCAACATCCTCATCAGGCCATACCAATTTCTGGGGAAATATAGTTACCAACTATACTGAAAGATACACAGTTTGGGGAGGGCTGTTCTAGGAGAATATCATTTTATCTGTATATCTCCAAGAAGCACGTCAAGACTACAAGGGGAAAGAATTTCAAAATTCCATTGTCTGACAGCAGAAGGGAGCCTAAAGGACGTAGCACTATTCCCAAGCAAGTACATGACAGAATGAGATGCCCCTTTTAAGGAACTTGGAGGCAGCCTGCTGGAACAGCATGCATTTAACTAGCTACTGGGCTTGTTGTCCAGTCACAGCTTCTGCCTAAGAACCTAAAAGCCTGCTGGTTCAGGCCAAAGGCCCATCTAGCCTAACATATCCTGTCCTCTTGTGCTGTTGCTCAATGGTGCATGTATTCAGAGGCATATTACAGTAGTACAACGGCACATTTAAAGTAAAATGTTTTAGTTGGTGCTAAGTTTCAATTCACCTTGGCAGATAAGTTTTCACATGTTTATAGTATTAACAGTGTCGCGCAAAACAGGTATTTCTAGCACAGGCTTTATGGATATGGTCTGGAGTTCTCCAAATAGTCTGTGGCCCACCCAAGCCCCATCAGCCTTATAACCGTACACACAGACAGACAAGGTTGCAAGGAGGTAACATGAAGATTTATGCCTTGTAGCAGTCTGTGGAACAATTTTTAGGGCCAGGCTGTTAACCTACACTGGCACATAGCTCTGGTCAAGAATCTGGTTGATCGGTTACAAGGCGAGTGATCAATTAGGTTTAAAGTTGCATATTACAAGACCCTTAATGTAGGTGCTACCAAAACCTTAAAAGATGATGGTGGTAATACCCTGCCCCTCTGACAGGGTTGTCCCAGCCAGTCTGGGCCGCTTCCAGCATAATAAAAACACAGCAAACATCAAACTTTAAAAACTTCCCTATACAGGGCTGCCTTCAGATGTCTTCTAAAGGTTGTGCAGTTATTTATCTGCTTGACATCTGATGGGAGGGCATTCTACAGGAAGGGTGTTACTACTGGGAAGGCCCTCTGCCTGGTTCCCTGTAGCTTCATGTCTTGCAGCGAGGGAATCTCCAGAAGGCCTTCGGAGCTGGACCTCAGTGTCCAGGCTGAACAATGGGAGTGGAGATGCTCCTTCAGGTATACAGGGCTGAGGCTGTTTAGGGTTTTAAAGGTCAGCATCAATACTTTGAATCGTGCTTGGAAACGTACTGGGAGCCAATGTAGACTTTTAAATATATATGGTCCGGCTCAAAATACCAGCCATTAAAAGCTACTTTCACTGTTAAAGGTTTGGTTTAGTTCAGACATTATGTCTGTAGCCATATTTTAAAGTAGCCACGGTGCGTCTTTTTTGCTTATTAATAAGCAATCAAGTCACAATGATGCTCAAAGCTACATATTCACAAAAATTAAAATACAGTACAAGAGAATGTGCTTCAGTCAGACAATAAAAAGAAGCATAAGTGACCACCAGGTCATGTTACTCTGCTTCAAGGGTTTATAACGAAACTTTCCACCTCAGAATGACAACTTTCTATAGCAGTTCTAAAATTCACAGAATTTATTCCTGAAGAGCACAGATTTGATGGCAATGATTTACAAAAGTCAACAGTACTCCCTGATTCAAGAGCACAAGGTTCAAATCACATCCATGTTGATACCCACTATAGACCTCTGAAATACTTGTTTCATTGAACAGTCAAATTGTTATGGCCAAATGCCTGCACAATAAAACTGAATGTGCACCGACAGTATGTAGTTTCCAAAGGCAGGCCCTTGCAAACCAGCAGTCAAGAAACATACTGACAGGCCCCTGAACAATACTGGATCAGAATCCATAAGAGTAGCATCAGCCTTGTGCAACAGCAACAACAAAAACCTGTGGCACTTTTAACAGAATGTAGCAGATGCATCTGACATAGGGAATTGCCTGAAAAAGCCTTTTTTAACTAACACACTGATGAGTAATGTGCACCAGGGTTCTTACGTCTGCACCTCCCTGCTTTCAGATCTGACAAGAAACAGTTGTCCCTACCAGTCACCAAAGAATCAGCCACATGAGAAAAACACCTTTTGCCTCACCTCCAGCCTTGGAAATATTTCCAGATGGTGACACATGAGACAAGTGTCCTTCCCTGCAGGAAGCCTCAGAGGTGGGGCTAGTTTATTTCCAATGAGCACCAGCTCCATCAATTTAATTCCTAAACCTCAACCAGTCCCAAATAAACTTTTCTTAAAAAACAAAGGGACACCTCCAAATCCAACATTCTGCTACACAAGATTCCCAGAGGAAGGAGGAAAGAATATCTGACCAAGTCACACATTCAGAAGACTAGTAAACATATATTCCTTTGAGTTTCATGAATTTACACACTAAATTGGGCAAATCTACCAACTCAATTAAATATACAGTTTCATTTCACGGGAGGCCACGTGGTGCCCTCTAAGACATCACTCCCATCATCCCAACCAGTGGCGATTTCAGTTAGAGAATTATAATCCAACAACAATATCTGGATAGCAAGATTTTAGACTTGCTCCAGGCTTATTTCCATGTAACCTACGCAGCAATCTGAACTTGAGAACAAAGAACTTCTTAGAGAAGTCGACAAATTCAGTCACTGATGGCAATCACTTCTCTCCCCTAAGCAGCAACTCTCAACCAATGTTCCTCTGTTCCCTTACAGGAGGCTGTCTTACAGAGTCAAGATTATTGGTTCATCTAGCTCTGGAACATCTACATTGACTGGAAGCACCTTTCCAGTGTTTGGCAGAAGTCTCTCCCAGACCTACCCAGAAAAGCCATCCAACCAATCTAGTGAGTTGCTGAGAGGGACATGACACTGGGCTTTTAAGAAGTAACTTCTACTTATTCCAACATCCAATGCAAAGTGAGATAAAGTCCCCATCCTACCACCACATCCTCTACACATGGAAGACATCTGGGAGAGGAGGGGGAGAAGGTATCACTAATAATGGCTGGCAACAAAGCCAAGCCAGAAAATTGTGGACACGTCTAAAGATAGTCTGCTGCTCATTCTGACCGAAATAAATACTGTTAAGTATAGAAAAGTTGAGGGTTCAGTCAGTCCACAACCAACAGAACCTATCTCATGTGAAGACAGAGGTCCTATAGCCCTCGCTTGCTGGTTAACAGGAGTTGGTAATATGAAGTGAAGCAACTCCCAGCACAAGTGTACCACAGCTAATGGCAAACCAAGGGGGATGAATTATCGCTTAACAAAACAACTAACAGAATGGAAGACTGAGGCTCAAGTACCTGAAAAAGTATCTTCTCTAGTCCTGCTCTACCCATCTATTAATATCTGTTCTACTTATTAATCTGACTTCAAGTTCTCTTGGGCAGGAGATGAAATGGCCCCACTCCCCCTAAAATTACAGAATTCCTTCCCAAATGATATTTGATTGTCCCTCGTGCTGGCCTCATTGAGGCGCAAGGCAAAAAAAATTATTTACTCAGGCCTTTGGTATGTAATTGACCCTTCTGCTGCCACTGCTCTTCTGCACAGTCTGTTATGATGTTAACATTTTTGTTGCTGTGACGTGTGTACAATAGTGTTATCGTTAGCCACTCTGTGCTTCCATCGGGAAGGGCAGGATATGAGTATGGGGAAATGAATTAGTATTCAAATTAACCCTACTCTTGATCTCTCCCAGCTGCCAGAATGCCACTGGAGAATAGACAGACTCCAGGCCACTCAAAGTTGCTCATAACAATATGGGAGACAAAAGCCAGGACCTGAACTGCACAACCACTTGTCTGTGTCTGAGCAGGTAGCCACACCAGTAGCTGCAAGCCCTTATCCTGCCAAGTAGCAAGCCACTTTGACATGGAAAAGACTTTTGAAAGCTGTTTGCAAGATGGCAGGAAAGCCCCATTACTCAGAGAGAAATACAAATAGGGAACAGGGCACATCAAGCCCATCTGGGATATGACCCAAAGTAGCTTCTCCTGCTGCAGCCAGTGTGTCAATATACTTCTACAGTGCACCAGAGAAACATCAGATGCAGGAGCCAATGGCCCTACAGGCCTCTCCATAGGTTACACACCCTGTCAAGCAATATCCCCTCTCCCTACCAGAGTCTTCACCAGTCCTGCTTTGCACCCTCCTTGGAGTGAAATGTGTTCTTGAACTCCAATAATGCTTGTTTGGCTGCATTATACCTGAATTCGGAATGTGAATGTGAGATATGGGCACAAAAACATGCATGCCATGCTCCTCTCTGAACTTTCCTGCATTGAATGGGAAAGCCTGAAGGGGCCTTCTAAGTGTGTTTGGGCAACTGGGGCTCCCAATTCTGGATCAAATGAATTTGCTTAGAAGCCCCTTTCAAACCTCCCTACTCAATGAAGAAAGATCAGTGGGGGCATGTGGAGAGGCCAGTGTGCACACCCACTATTTGTTTTCCGAATCCCCATTCAAGCACAATGCCTGAACAGGGCCCAATCTGCTGAGGGAGTGGTTCGCAGAAAGCACAGCTTTTCTAGGCAACAGCTGTCAAAAGAGGCAAGGCAGAGATGGAATCCTCCATGTTCAGGGCAGAACTTAAGAACTGAAGTTGCTAAAGTCAATGAGAGTCTCCTAGGTAGGAAACCCGAGAAAAGGGGCTCAGTAACACTAAGCTTTTCTATCTAGGTTTTTTGACCCAAGTTCAGAAGCACAACTGACAATATGTTGCCATGACTGGCCTGGTGCTTGCTGACCCCAATGACCCTGGTTGAGATTCAGACAAACATGTCCTGAAGATTCTTGTTAGGAAAAGGTTTAGATAATCTTAACAAATAAAACAAAACAATCTGAGGGTTTAGACTATACACTTAACCGTGTTTGCCACCTAAGTAGTGTAATTTCACATGACTGTGGGGACCTCCACTGTGTGCACAAGCTGGAAATAACCAGAGCGAAAGACCTCAAGGAAGGAAAAACCCACAGCAACCCCATGTGGACTAAACATGCTACATGGCCAAGAAATGCTACCCAAGGCAGTGTAGCACAGTAGTTATGAGTACCAACCTAGGACTTGTGGGGACAGCATTCAAAAACCCCTAAGCCATTCCGCTTCACTGGGTAAGCTTAGGACAGTTATTTCTCAGTCTAACCTACTTCACCGAATTGTTGTGAGGATAAAATGGGGAGTGGGGGAACCACTGAGCTCCTTGGGAAAAGATCTGATCTAAATGTAAGAATAAGACTGTAGGGATAAAAATGGAAAGCCAGGGAAGGAATAATGGAATGGAGTATCCTACGTGTGAGTGGAATGGATGGCACCCTAAACAGAAGCATTCCAAACTGCAATAACTTACCACAACCTGAAAGAGTTTCTATTCTAAAGCTACCAAAAAAGGACAGAGATTTCCTCAGTTCTATCTTCCAGACCCAGCATACATCCAATTAGCACCTCCATCGATGCAGAAACATGCCCTAATCCTGGTCAATGGTAGCTTTTAATTCAGTACTGGAACTTCAGGTTGTTTCTGAAGTCTTATTCCCAAGCACAAAACCCCATGACATTACTAAGCAGCAAGGCAAACACGAAAAACCAGAAGCCAAAACAGCTCTACCTTGTTCCAAGTCCTAGCACAGCTATGCCTACCTAGCGCTGCATTGTGCTCTCTGACTGGCAGCAGCTCTTCAGTATTTTGAACCCTGTTTCAGGGATCATTTAATTGGAGATGATGGGAACTGAACCTTGTGCTGAGATGTAAGTCATTTTTCTCAATCCCAGACACAGCCAAATAGATGCACAAATACGTACGTAACAGAAAGCCTGAGAATGAGGCGTTCCCACACTCTGGATGTTTGCACTCCTACATGAGAAGGTAGAGCATATTCCTCAGCAATATTGGCCATGTTAGTAAAGAGGCAAATATTCATTTTATAGTTAGCAGGCATTTCTTGCAACTATAACTATCTTTGGTTATTCATCCAGAAGGAAGAGAAAGCTTGCAATTACAGCCACAAAGGCTAGGCATCAGTTTGCAACCTAGTAACAGAAGCACTTCCCATTTCCATCTTGCTTTGAAAACACTGGAAGACCAGTGTGTTTGTGGGAGGGGGGTTTCAACAAAAGGCTCTGCCAAGATACACCTGTCTCTAATTCCAGTCTAGGCCAGTGGTTTGCATAATTTGAAGATAAATAGTAACCCAACTACAATCCATGCTATTATCTCAACAACTCACTATTTATATTAGCTTACCAAATGAGGACTTGAAGCCAAGAACACCTGCACAATTACAACCCAAACCACTAATGCATGATATTTAGTCACCACTAAACAAGTATGCACTTCAGCTCTCTTACTACTATAGGATGATTAGTGGGACCTGTGGGAAATGCTATCAGTGATCCAAACAATGCAACCCACAAGTCTCCCAAGGCACACTACTGAATGTTTCCCTTAAAAATACGCAGTGCTTTGCTCTATTAACATTGGGGCTCTCAAAGTATTTTCTCAGGCTGAAGGCCACATTCCCTTCTGGTCAACCTACTGGGGTTGGGATTGGAGGGTGACGAAAGAGACAACAACTTTACCTTTGTACGGTTTCTACATACACACACATGAACACACACCCCCCTCCATTTTCAACCCAGGCAAGCAAGTCATTATTAGAGTTCAAGGACAATATTTCAAGAATTTTAGCCAGCCAGGCAACAACAATCAAGGAGTGTGAAGCAGGTCCAGTGAGGGGTGTTGCCTGAGCAAGGGAAAGAGGGGCCTGGAGGGCAACATTCAGAACTAGAGCCTGAAGTTTCCATTCCTGGTTATGAGTTGCACCAAAACCTTTTTTAAAAAATCTTGCCTTGCTGTGTTTATCCAAATCTAGGCAACCTTTAGAAGGGCATCATAGCTTATGCCTCTAAAAATAAAAAAATCAGTCATTAAAATGTGTTTCTTTCCCTCAAAACAATGCAAGTTAAATGTCACCTCTATAGTATGTGAAGTTAAGCAAGTGTGGGTCTGATCAGTGCCAGGATGGGAACCCAAATAAGCTATTCTGGAAGATCAGGTCAACTTGTTCTTCAAACATCCATTATTGAAATACCCACACCTCTGAAAGCTTACAACCCTGGCGTCTTCCATCTTCTCGAAACTGAGTCATCAGTAGTAATTTATAAGAGAGCTTGCAATCATTCTAAATCAAGCCTCCTCCCCCATACATGCACGTGACTTCGAATGGTTTTCTATTTCAGTTGCATCAGCCTGCACTTCAGTTTGAGCATGTCTGCACCACTGGGATCTTTTCATAGGCATGCACTCAAGTGGTAAGTTTAGCACTGTGAAACAAGTAGAGAATAGCATTTCAGCAGGAAGCATGTTCTTTTCTTGCAAGGATGAAGGTGTCCAAACAAGCTAGTAAGGTTTTAAATTCCTCCATGCCGCAAGAAAGCTTTCAAAGTAATAAGTACACATTTATTTGACTGCTGGCCAGCTACAGATTCCAAATTCATGTACACTTAGCCAAAAACAATCATGCATCACATTAACAAATAGAGAGCAAGCCTCATCTCATGATATACAAGAAGATGTCAGCCAGTGTACCCAAGTGAGAAGTCTACAAAGCTGGAACAACTTTCACCTAAATTGCACCTTAGACTTTATGATTCTTGCTCAAGTCCCTGGGAAGACAATATGGCTGAAAGCATGGCTTAAAGAGCCACAGGAGCAAGGCTGTCCCATGGACAAACAAAAAACCGCTTAGCAGTTTTCTATCATCAAGCAGCATATCCATTTTGTTAAATAAAAATAATCAATTAAACTCCAAAACTTAACATTTTTGAAGTGTCCCCTTTTCCCTCTGCTAGAAGAGGGAAATGAAGAAAAGTTTCTTCCTTTTCCCGACATATGTTTCTTAAGCCCTGCTCAACTATGTTCATAACAAGCAAGTGGTTTTTTAGTGTGTTTGGAGCTTGCAGAGTTAAGGAACAGTGATTCAGAGCTATACAACCCTTTGATACCAACATGGAATATTCACTGGAAAGTGCACTAACCAGCTTCCAGGGCAAGAAACAACAAATTACTCTACAGCTAGATGCAACTGCAGAAAATGCAAATGAGGTGTCAAGCTACTGAGAGCCAGTCCAACTGTGCCTTTACTCTTCATGTTAGCTGCCGTAACACCTCACGGTCATTAAAGAAGTTAAAAGAGTGTAGAGGCGTGAGCTTTAAACACCCATTCCTATGAAAAGCATTGAAAAAGCCAGAACCATTACCATGGAGAGCTATGGCTTCTCGGAAGGGCTGCAAGTCCGTCTCCACAGAGGAGCTAGTTTCTGTCGAAGTAGCTCGGTTAGGGGATACTACAGTTAGTCTTGGGGGAGCTCTAGAGTTTCGTGGAGGAGGCGCTTTCCCACACAGGAAGCTGATTAAGTCTTCTCTGCGAATAGTTCTTCTGCGCTTTTTAACCCAAGCCAACACATCCTTGTTACGACGCTGATAGCCAATATGGATTCCTACATCGAAACTCCGCTGATGGGCATCCACGCTTTCTGGAAAAAGAGACAAGAATTTTAGGAGGTGCATTAGATACACAGTTAAAATCTGCTTCTGGAGTCAAATACTGATGTCATGTGACTCACTTAAAACACTTTTGAGCCTCTTTGTGCAACCTGTGAAATGTAGCACTAAATGTATGGTTTCTTTGCTTCCCTCCACCACTTCCCATGGAGTTGCACACATTTGAAACTGGCTTTTGTTTTAAAACATCTTTTTCCTGTGTGAAGTTTCTCTAAACATACAAGTGTCCTTTTAAAAGTTGTGCTTTGCTGGATGCAGCATGAAGGCAAAAACCGCTCTGGTTTGCTGAACTTGCAAGGGAGGTGAGGGGAGAAGAAACAATGCAAGTTCAGTCAAAAGAAGCATAGAAGTTGAAGAAAAGGAGCATACAAAACAAGCTGCCAGATGTCCTGGCTTTGCTCTCTGAGAATGTTTTTTTGTCTCATGGTGAGGAGATAATAAAAATAAAGGCAAAACGGGAAGCATTTATTTCATGATTATGATCATAGTTAGAAAGATTGGTCTGTTTCCTGTATCCATCTCCTCGTTGTCTCACTCCAATGGGATTAAAATGCGATTTAATCCTATTAAACTTCTGTCTGATTAAAAAAAATATTTTGCCAACCTGATGCCCTTCAGATGTTTTGAAGAACAGCTTCCGTGAGTCCCAAACTTATGGCAAAGTTTGGCTTTAAAGGTTAAGCACATAAACCACATACCTAGTAACTGTATTGTAAGGATTGTAGCAAAGTATTATTTGAATGTTTTAAGCTGACAAAATCTTTTTTGGGGCAACACTGACTAAAGTTCTTGCCACACATTCAAGAGCATTGTCTTGTGCTGCTAGAGGCATGCAATGTGGAAAAGCAGTGGCACACTCTTAGAGGGTTTCATGTGAACCCTGATGCATAGTGGTGCTCGTTCAAATTAGGAGGGTGAGCACAGTAATATTTAACACAGAAAAGTGTAACCTACAGATAGTGTCAATGCTCATTAACTCAAGGGGAAGATTTGGATTGAGCATTTTTGAGCACACATGTAATTTTACCCCAGGAGTTCTGTAATATCCCAAGGTAAACAGACTCTTGACATCAGACAGAAGCATTAGGAATAAGTTTAGGAGTCAAGTACAACTTTATTAATCCTCCAAAAGGGTTACCAACATCACATCTGGCAAACTATTCATGCACGCTACCTAGAACAAACTATTTCAAATTTCAAAGTGGCATGAAATTTTTGAGGAGAAATCATTTATACAGAAATACTCCTCAAGCACTGCAAACTGAACTGCTCATTTTACAAACATGAACAAACAGGAAATCATAAGACTTGCCTAGCCAACACATGGAATCCAGCAGCTGATTCCAACTGTCTCAACCCAAGCCAAATGGTATCCATGGTAGATCATTCTAGCTCTTGCAACCGGCAACAGACTACAGTTTACACATTCATGCTTTCACATTTGATGAAAGCAGCACCCAACAGTGGCCTACATGTATGATCAAGACACGCTAGATCATTCTCCTATCAGTTCAGCTCAAACAGAATGTTTTTCAACCAAGTCAGTTTGCATATTCAGCAGTGAGACCATCAGGTGTTGAGTAACCATGCACAACAATGTGACCCGGCCCTTGAGCTGCAAACAGTGTAGAATATCCATTTATTCCCAGGAGAATGCCATGGGGCCTAGCCCTGCAATCTGAGTAAAGCCAGCAATGAGAACAGCCATAAGTTGTATCAAAACTACTCTGGCAGTTTGAAACTGCACGCATGCCTTAAAACTCAATTTAAAAATTGTTCCATTCTTCCAATTCAAGAGAAAACTATACGGTATATGATGAATTCTGAAATAATATCAGAACTTTTGGCATATGCAAGAGGCTTGCTTCACGTAACCATTGTGCTTCACACAACTCCACCCATTCCATTACTGGATGAGTATCCATTCTTAACAAGACAATTTAAGCCATTTAGCATACTATACCAAACCCCTTTTTACTGCTAGATGTTGGGGGGGGGATCTATACCTATGAAAATGCGTAAATCTTTTCCTGAGCTCTAGAACAACTATTCAATTTTCACACTATACGGCAATTCCATTTCCAAATTCATTCACACGTCAGCCAAAGCCCACTATTCAGGATATCCACAGCTGATATCATATCAATAGGTTATCAAGATGAGTGGCTGTTCGCATGGGGTTCAGAACTGAACTATAGTCATTCTGCCGCTGACCCAGCAATTTATAATGCAGAACTATGACTACTAGGAAGAAAAAACTCCACAACCCAAAAGCATTTGCATTAGGAGAATATTTCTTCTATGAAGTCTCATTAAGAACCTTTTGGTAGAATTAACCTGAGCACAGACACAAAATGCCTTGAAGTAACTGTTTACTGCAGATTTATTGCTGTTAACTACTACAGGAGATGCCCCATAGCTGTAGCATTTGCTCATGGCCAGTGGCAGTTTGATGTTAAGTGATGGCTACAATTACCAGGAATAACTTACAGGAACTACAATAAATTACAGTAATCCCTACCCCCCTGCAACCAACACAGATTTTAAAGAATTGTGTTTACTGTATTTCATATACAGTATCACTTTTATTGTTGGACACCTTGACCTTTAGGGGAAGTAGATGTTTAAAGCAAATGAACTCAGTCAAGAGAGCCCTGAGTCACTTCCTCCTCTCTGGTTCGACTAAAGCTGCCTGGGGTCAGTAACAGACAGATGACAGCCAAAATCAAGCCAGACAAACAGATCACAGAGGAGGAGGATAATGGGGGTAGGCAATAAAAAGAAACAGGTGCAATCTGACAGCCACCTTTATGCTTCTTGAGAGGGAGGGTGAGGGGAAGACATCTGCTATTTAGTCCAGGCAGCACCATACTGCACCTCTGCCACATTATACAAGGGTTTTAATTATAGTGGTACCTCGGGTTACATACGCTTCAGGTTCAGATTCCGCTAACCCAGAAATAGTGCTTCAGGTTAAGAACTTTGCTTCAGGATGAGAACAGCAGCGGGAGGCCCCCTTAGCTAAAGTGGTGCTTCAAGTTAAGAACGGACCTCCGGAACGAATTAAGTACTTAACCCGAGGTACCACTGTACAGGCAACTTTTAAAGGCAATGTTGTAAGGCAGCAATTGAGGTGAGCACCACCATCAGTTATTAATTTCAAGTGCCATGGTGTTTAGGCCCATTACCACCTTCCAGTGGGCATCTTAACTTTCAATTATGAAACTTTGTTTCAATACACTTTTCTTATTTGTATCGGTGAACTAGGAGAGTAGACTGAGCAGTTTCATCAATTTGATCCCAATCTGAACAAAGAGCTTGCCCATGGGAAACAAGCAAGTCTAAAAGTCTCCTCACATAAGTTTTTTTAAAAAATGGAATTGCATGCATAGAACTAATGTTAAAAGATGCTTCCACAACACAGAAATTGCCAAGGAAACAAAAGCAAACTTCTCTATCAATATACTAATGCTAATTAAAGTTATATAAAAAGCATACTGAGCTGCTTTTCAACAGTAAATACTGATCTGCAAAGGTGAGACAGAGCAGTATGAGAAGTTACGCAACTCACTTAACATGTTGAAGTCCTACTTCCTATGACTGCACACTGACAACCATCTACACTTGTATCTGCCCTCTACACAGATACTTCAGCTAGCATCCAGAATGGACACACTCAAGAGTTGTATGACACCGCATTCCAGAGTTGCAATGACAAGAAAAGCTTATGATCTTCATACCAGCCAAGTAGTCACATGTCATGTCAAGCTGAAGGAACTGAAAACAAGCCTTCAGCTTTGTTTTTAACAGACCTTATAGGGAGATTTCAAAACGTGAGCACTACGAACAAAAAAATTGGTAAAACTAACGTGCTTTTATTGGGCATCTTCAACCACTAGCAAACTACACAATTTGGCAACTATTTACACCACCACTGGACCTATATATTAGAAACACTCATAAAATTTGCTCGACTTGCAAAATCTTCAGCACAAGTTTTTACCTGCTAAAAAGTGTTGCAAGTTTGCACTTTCAATCCTATCCTTACTGAGTTAGGAAATACATGCATTCCACTTTGTCCTTGGCAACTTTGTAAATTGAACTATGATTTATCAACAGCAATATATCAACGTGAGAACTACAGTCTTAGACTGACACTCTTTGTTTTTACACATCTTCCTATTCTGCCTGGTGCCATTACGCTTGGCATGATTATCAGCAATTTTCTTACTTGGGGTTAACAGACTGACCTCCCACTGAGCACTTAGAACTACCACATTGTATTGACTGGGTGACCAAAGCCAGTCCAGAAAGCAACTTGTTTTACCTTGAAAGGCCACCGTCAGTAGGATGCAAATGAAGAAACAGTTGTTTACTTTATGTATTATGAGTAATTGAACGATGGTGGATGGACATTTTTGTAGGACTGCTAACACATATATATGTGAAATCATGTATGTGTGCACAGTGTCAAAAGGTACCTGTGTCCATTCTTGGTGTGGTAATAGCAGTAAACAAGTCTGGCAGTAAATAATAAAATTGACACCTTTTTCCTAGTCAGATTCATACATTTAGAATAGTGTTCCTTACTCAAGGAGCTGTTCCAGTTTTGAAAATATTAAAGCAGATTTTCTACCTTGATTCCAAGCACCCTTTGAAGATCCAACTGGAATTAATGTTGCCATACGAGCAGAACATACACACATAGATCCAGCTACTGAGGTTGAGGTGGCAATCTCAGTAAGAACAGGGCTCTCTGCAAGACAATGTCAATCCATGGCAAAAGCCAAGCAGTTGCCTCCATCTTAAAATTATCAATGTGTCAATTTGAAAGTCAATGTAGTACAGTGGTTAGCATGTTAAAGGGAGGACTGGGAAGACATGGATTCAATCCTGCACTGTTAAAGATCACTGGGTGGCCTTGACCCAGTCACTTTGAGCCAAAACTATATCACAGTATTACTGAGAGAATAAAATGTGAAGGACAAGGGCACATGCTAAGAAGAGGAAGAGCAGGAAGCAAACAGCATTTATACAATTTTTGCTGTACTATATAACCCTTATAAATTACATGTACGGATAGGTCAGTACTAACATCAGTTACAGATGGAGGGTGTAAAGAGAGAGTCATCTACACAAGACTGCCTAGTGAATCCATAGCCAAGACATCTACTAGAGATTTCACAGTTCGCCTTTTTACCATTGTGCTACAGTACCGGTCAGGGTGATAACTGGTTTTCAATATCACAATAGATCACCAACTAAACATCATAATACATCACAATATCTGAAATAAGTATGGAACTATGTAGAGGCATTGACTAGCTTCATGGTTTTTCCCACATTGTGATTTCACAATATATTGCCAGGTCAAAAATTATGACTCCGGTAACACAAAATGGATTTCAAACTGGTTTTGGACGATTTGCCTACCTATTTGTGTAGGGAAGAGCTGTAGCTCAGTTGAAGAGCACATGTTCTCCATACTTAAAAGGAGCCAGGACCTGAAGCTGTGGAGAACCACTGCTGGTTGGTGTCAACAGTGCTCCTGAAGTCATGCTCACTATATGGCAGCTTTCTGTGTTTCTATGTTCTATTCTATGTTCTTATATGAGCTGATGGGATTTCAGGAGAACCTCTGCTCAAGAACTAGTGCTGCTGCATTAGCACTGGCACAATTTCCTGCAGTATCCTGCAATTTAAGTGGGCTGGGCCACCAGCCTTGGTAAACATCCTGTCCCAACTCCACCTACAGTCGACTTTCCACAGCTTTGAGCAATGCTCCTGCACTGTCCTAAGCTGCCCTGTAGTACTCAGTGCACCTGTCCCTACCCACTTTCTGCCTTGCACAACTGATGGGCAGGATGCAGTTACAAGACTAGTCTAGCACACAGGTCTTTTGACTCCACATGGCAAATTAACGCTTCACTCTTTACAACCCAATTCCATGGGTTTTTATTTTTATTTTCAACAGGTAAATGCATAACGCAAGTCACTGCTATCACACAGATGCCTTCCCTTACCAAGCAATAAACAAGCAAAATGGCAGCTGGCTGCACAAACAAGGAAAAACAGCACTGACTAATACTATTGGCTGAGTTGGCAAAGACCTCCCTTGATGACTAAGAGCTTGCCATTTTGAGTGTTGCATTCCATTCAAACCACTACACACTGGAAGCTACACCATCTAATTACATCTATTGCCCTATAGCAAGTTACTCACATGATTGCAGAAAAAGTTAAGTCTGACTAAACTATTGTTACCCCACCATATTGGGTCAAACAAATCAAAAGGGTAACCTGTGGTTTAACTAAAACTGAAACCATTTTATCAGATGGCCCGTTACTCCTTGAAGAGTCTCCTTATAGGAAATGGGAGCAACTTCAGACAAAGTCAGTAGCATGTAGTCCTGTCTTCAGTTTTCCACCATGAGTGGGTGAAGAGAACCTGTGAACCTTATGGAGGATCTACCAGTAGCTGGCAAGCTATTCTAGTCTCAGTGTGCTAAGATTCCTGTGCTGGTCTGCAGTTCATAAATCAGAAAAAAACCCAACCCACAAAAACCCATAATCACATTCTTGCCCCCTTCTCATATAAGACAAAGCAAACACAAATTGATCCATTTAAGTCTAGCAGCACAGCACAGCTCGCTAATTTGAGGGATGAACTGTTGCTATTTAGTTATATTCTGCCTTCCTCCACCCCACTGGTACTCAAGGCGACTTACTGTTAAAAATACAAATATGCAGATAAAACAGAAAAACTAAAAACATAGAAATGCTAATCATTAAAAGTAAAAAGAGTAATATTAATACCCCAGCAGTCAGTATGCACGCTGTCTTCTGTGACTGCGAGAAGGAACTAGATGCTTTGTCATCTACATTCTGGATGCCAACTGATTTGCAATTCACTCAGTGTCACTAAGATCTAAGTTTTTTTACAAGACAGTATAAATAGCACCAGACTACTACTAGATCAGTTCTCTCCAATGTCAGCTACTACACAGCCAAAGTGTAGAATCACTTTGTTCCTATGGGAAACTATGCTATTATGTCAAGCTGGACACTATTCTAGGAGTCAGCCTCCCCAATTCAAGGCTGTCTGCTTCTAACATAACTTAAGGGTAGAGATTTAACCACTTCTAGACTTCATTGTAGACTCCAGAAATTCCCCTTCCAAGTGTGCAAATCAACTTTCTCATGATTCCTACAAGAATGGAGGCCTTAGGGCACTGAGTCACAAAGCAACTTTTCATCCAGTAATGTGCTAGGTGACTCAAGACCCCCATTTCAAACTGTTCAGAAATTAGCATGAACCACACCTAGGTTTCTTAGCTGAATAATACCTGTACTCCATATCCAAGGGCCAGGTGTACTACAATAGGTGAGACAGAAGCATTCTGCCACTTGACAGACAGACCAAGGTAATTCTGTCTGTGTTGTGATAATGAAGAACCTAGAAAGCTCTTAGTCATTCCTATGAGGCAGAAGGTCAGAATGAAGGGAATGAAGACACAGATGACATCCTGGGGCACCTCAACATTCCTGTTCTGGGGATAGGAAAACTGTGGTGCTCTAGGTACTGTTGGGACTCCCAATTTGTATCAGCACTGACCATTGGCCATACTGGCTTGGGGTGATGGGAATCCAACACCTGAAGGACCATGGGTTCCCCACCACCATTCTATTCTATCACATTTAGGTCTCAAGGCTTACACCACCAATTCCACATTCTATAACCAAATCCACCGAGGAAAAGGTAGCTCTCAGACTGCCTTATGCACAAATGTTCAGCAATACCTACGTGTTCTTAACTTACAAGGCTCTTTTGGTCAAAACATAGTTTGAGAAAGGCTTCTGTAATGAATGGACCTTATTATCTCAGCGCACTTGTTCCTAAAAGGCACTCGGACCCAGGTAGACCTAACAGACTGCTGGTAATGCAGGTCAAGGACAATGCAGCACAAAAATGGCTGACATTCAAGATAGGGAAAGGAATGGACAGGTAGGCTCCGAACACTGGAGCAGTTAAACTGATTCATTTCTTCTTCCAATAACTTTGGCAACTGTCACATCAGAGTACATTTGGCTCTGTCATTCTGGCCAAAGACTCCTTACAACGAAGATTTTGTCACTCACTCACAATTCACAATGCATCTCCAAGAACAGTGAAGGGCATGATTCAGTAGCTTCTATCTATACGATGGAAGCAGAAGGCACTCAATACTGAATTATTTAGATGCAGGCACCTCAACACATATTATAATTAACAATTATTAACACTGAAAATATCATGGCACCATACTCCAGAAGTGTTCTGTTTTCTAGAATGGAAACAGTTCTCTCTACAGTGTGCAGCAGTATTCTGGGAAAGGGTGGAGTAGGCCTTATTCTACAACATACAGCACTGATTTCCAGACCTCAGCATTCTCAGATTTATCATTTATGAATCACTCCTCTCTTCCCAGAAGTCTATCATACATGTCTCTAGTCTGGGAAATACCCAGCTACACACTGCAAGGCCAGTGTTCTTCAACCTTGTAGTCCCAAGATAACCTGGACTCCCCAGCCAGTTTAGCCAATGGCAAGGGATAATGGGAGCAGTAGTGCAGCACCTGGAGACTCAAAGTGCTAGACCATTTATAAAGAACTACCGTATTTTTTGCACTATAACATTCACTTTTTTCCTCCTAGAAAGTAAGGGGAAATGTCTGTGCGTGTTATGGAGCAAATGCCTACGGATGGCGGGGGGATCTGCTGCAGTTGTGAGCAGAGGATCCATGGTTCCCCTTCCTTCCCTCCTCCGTGGCTTGCTTTGAAACAGCAAAGCGGGAGAAGAGCCGCTGATCACGTAGCATGTCAGATCACATAGCATGTCCATGGCTACAGCTTGCACCAAAAAAATCACTCACCCACTGTTGCCTGGGGCCGCAGTGGTGCAAAAACGTGGTTACAAAGCATGGATCCTCAGGATTTTTGCATTGGGCTACCCCAAACTCACCGTCAGATCACATGTCTGTGGCCACAGCATGAACCACAAAAATCATACATCCACTGTTTTGTTTAGAACAATTTTTTTCTTGTTTTCCTCCTCTAAAAACTATGTGCGTGTTATGGTCGGGTGCGTGTTATAGAGCGAAAAATACGGTATACCCTTGCTACCCTCCTAATCAAATATGCAACTCCACAACATTGCATTTTTGCCAAGCTATCTGTAACCACCAGCACCCTATTTCCATATTTATTGTCACAAATATACAGCTGCACTGTCCAGCAATGCTCACTAATTGTGTGGGAAGGCAAGAGGGAAAACCTGGCTGACCAGCCTAACACTGAAAGTGGCAAGTTATTCTATCTGTAACTGCAGTACCACAATCAGGTAAAGCACAGCAAACCTTTACCAGACTGAAGAACTGTGCGGCCACAATTTGTGCAACTACTGCAACAGAAACAAGGAGGGAGGGAGCAGGAAACTGCAAAACAGTCAGTGTGATGTAGCGGATAGTGTTGGGCTAGCTCTTGGGAGACCAGGTTTTAAATCCCCACTTGGCCATGAAGTTCACTAGGCACCCTGAGACAGCCGCTGTCTCACAGTTTGGCCGACCTCAAAGGATGGCTGCAGGATAAAATGGGGAGGGAGGGTTGAACTATGTATGCCACCTTGAGCTCCTTGGAGAAAAGATGGACTATAAATGCAATAATAAAAATAGATAAACTAACATTTCCTAGCAAACACATTCCTCTGCTCCTGGTGGAGCAGAAATGCCCAAGAATATGAAGTGAAGACCAGTATGCATTTATTAACAAGACTATGATTTGAAAGAGGTAAGAGGTGAAGAGGCACAGCATGACTGTCAAACCACGCACACACACACACACAAAAACCACTCAGTTATTCCTCTATTGAAGTCCATTTCCTACTTGTCCTCTTCAGGCCCCATTCATCCTGCCACCCTTCCCACAACCCACTACCAACCTGAAATCTCTCACCTTTGTACAGATTGGTGACAGCAGTGGCTGCATTCTGGAATGGGACCCACAAGGAGAGGCCCGGCTGCTGACACACACGGTCTGTGCGGGGGGGGGGGGTGCCAGGAGGAGGAAGAACAAAAGAACAAAAACGAGAAAATGAAGAGAGAGAAAACCACCTAACTCGCTTTTATTTCTTTCTCAGGCTCTGCTTATGATCTGTCACTCAGACCCTCCCTCGGCCATGTTGGGCTTCGCCATTTTGTTCAGTTGCCTGGACGGAGGGGGGAGGGGGAAATGGGATACCTTTTTTGAAGGAGGGGGACAAAAAAAGATTGAAAAATCAGGATATGAAGCATCCTGGAATCAACCAAGTCTTCATGGAGGGGGGAGAGAGACTACTGGAACCAACCACATGTGAATGGAGGGGGGAGTAAAACTGCTTCCCCTCACGTAGGGGGAGACTGGAAGCAGGAGGAGGCAAAGACAAACACCATTAAAAGGAAGGGGAAAAGGGAAGCCTACAATAACTCGCTTTTTTCACGTCGTCTCCTCTCTCTCCTCCTGCCACAGGCCCCTCCCAACCCGAGCCACCCTCTCGCCATTTTGTCGGTGGGAAGGGCCGACGACGGGAAGCTGAAGGGAGGGGCCGGGACGGACCCACTTGCCAACTGCGCGGGGGGGAGAGAGAGAGGGAGAAAAGAACGAAGGAGAAACCAACATGCCTTTCTCCCCCTCCGCCCCCCACCCTCCTTATATTTATTTCGTGAGAGGAAAGAAAATGGGGCGCGAGGCGAGAAAAGGAGGGCGGAGGGATCCGCCTCACGCCATTTTGTGTGCGCGCCCGCCGTGTCTGTATCACGGCGGCCGACTGGAAAGGCCGTGACGGGCGGGCGAGGCCTGAAGGAAGGAAGGCCGGCCGGCCGGAGGGCCCCCTGACAGGCGCTTCCCGCTCTCCGCCCGCGGCCACTTCCTCCTCGCCTCCCCCTGCAGGCCCCGTTCCCACGAAAGAGAGGGGGCAAAGGAAGCGAAGCAGACACGTCGCCGCCTCTGCCCTCACACACGTATCAATGAACAGAGACCGCACGTGTGTACGTACACGCGTCAATGCCCAGACACACCAGAAGAGCGGAGGCAGGAACGTGTGAAGCACACAGGCACACGCGACTGCGCACGTATGAACGTGCCGTGTGTTATCGACACGCATTAGCGCGTACACGGGCTTCTCCTTTCTCGCCCAACCCCAGGATACTCAACAGCCCCACGTAGAGGCAGAGGAAACCCCCTTCTCCTATTAAGCTGCCCATGGAGACCCGTTTGTTCTTTGACCTGCTCCAAACCCGCCAGAATCCTCGTCTTCTCTACCTGCGCTCCTTAATAGGGGGGTCCCCCTTCCCCAGTTCCATGCCAAATGGCTTGCCCACCCCGTCTCCATGAATAGGGCCCCCTCGACGGATCCCAATCTCCCTCCAAAAGCTCTTCGACCTACCCCGAGAACCTCTCCAGGGTTTCCTGAATGGGGGTCCCCCATACCCCTACATGAATAGGGGTGCCCTTCCACACACCCCGCCTCTATCCAAGGAGGCCCCCACTAACCACAAGCTATTCGACGTGCCTCCAAATCTCCTCCCCCATAAATGAAGGTCCCTATATCCCTGCTCCTCCCCCCCCCAATATAATTAGGGGTCCCCCTTCCCCTCCCCTGTGTACTGGAGCTACCTCCTAAAACCTCAGCCTCTCCTCCCCAAAAAGAAACCCCTCCCCCATGGCCCTGGCACTTCCTCTATGCCTCCTCCCTCCCAGCCATCTTGAGAGGGGGCGCTCCCCGTCCCCTCCCCCCCTTTCATCCCTCGGGGTCTTTCCCCCCTTCCTCCTCACCCTTGTAGAGCTGCGCCACGGCCGTGGCCGAGTTCTGGAAGAGGTGCCAGAGCTTCTGCTGCTTGTGCTCGGGCTGCGGGGTGGCGGCGGCGGCAGCTGCGGCGGCGGCGGCCTCGTCGTCGTCCTGCAGCTCGGGCGGCAGCGCCCCGTCGTCCTGCTCGGCCTCCGCCAGGCACTGCCGCTCCCACTTGCTGAACCAGTGCTCGGGCCCGTGCAGCTCTTGGATCTCGGCGTCGCCTTCCTCCTTGGCCGCCTTCTCCTCCATCTTGCCTCTCCCGCTTCTGTCGTGCGCCGCCGCTCAGCTACCTAAAGCGGGCGCCTCTCGACGGGGACGGGGACGCCATTAGCGGCCCCATAACGACGACGACGACGACGACAACAACAAGGCCGGGGAGCGTCCGGCCCCTCCGTCGCCTCCGACCACACTGAGCCCGAGACGCCGCCCCGAGCGCACCAAAAGGTGTCACCCGAACATGCTGGCTGGGTGATTGGTTGGCTGCGGCCAAAAAAAAAAAAGGAGTGAAAAGAAAGGCTGAAAATCCCGCCTCCTCTGCCTTCGCCACGCCACTGCCGATCGTCCCTTTGGACGCCTCCGCAAGCCTATTGGGCGTCTGACGTGTCCATCAATGTCATAAAGGAGACGGAAACGAGTCGGGTCTTTTTCTCTCTCTCGCTTTCCTTCCCCCGAAACATATTATGAGCATTAAGGTTGGTTGCGCCGACAAAATGGAAGGGAGGGAGAAAAAATAGGAGTGGAGGGGCTAGTCTGCGCAAGCGCGGGGTGGATGTGAGGGAGTTCGGAGTTCTCTAACTCCCTCGCTCGCCCTCTGGTCTATGCTTGCGCGCAGGCGCAGCTGCTTTCTGTCTCTCTACTTAGCGTGTTGTTCTGAGTTGTGACCCTCCCCTAAGAGGCGGGTTGGGGGAGGGGAGCAGAAATGTCCAGAGAGTTCTCTTGTCATTGCAGAATAATTAATATTTTTAAGATTTCTGCAGATTTATCAAAGATTGATTGCAAGTCTTCCTTCGTCCTTGACTCCACCAGGCCCACTTAATAAATGTTGATGAACCTATGGCCGCGGAGGTGTCATTTATTTTATTAGGCGTATGTATAAATTGGAACTCATTCAAAAAAAAAGCATAAAAACTTTTATAACATTTGCGGGTTAAAATTGTGCAGATCGTCTGTGCACATCCTAACTGCCTTATGAACACAAATGTGCAATAAGAAATGGCATCTTTATACCTCCACCCATTGGATGGCAGTTGGGGCATTCCAAATTTAAGTAGCTATTATGAAGCAAGCCAATTTAGCCATATGGTAGAAATCGTGCAATTCAATAAGAGAACCTACTGGCTAATACTGGAGGATAATGGAAATTGATGGTGTTCCTATGGGATACTAGCATTAATGAAAAATCAGCTGTGATTGTTGGGTTGGCTTACTCTTTCCAATACATTTGTGTTATTTGGGCCTTTTCAACTCTGGCTCCGGCCTGGTGGAACGCTCTGCCTCATGAGACCAGGGCCCTGCAGGATCTGATTTCTTTCCGCAGGGCCTGTAAGACAGAGTTGTTCCGCCTGGCCTTTGGCTTGGAGCCAATTTGATTCCCTCCCTCTCTTTCTATTTTCTTTTCCTTCTCCTCCTGTGATGAGGCTACATTTTAATATTTTAATGTTCATTATTTTAATGTATTTTAATATTGTTTTTAAGTTGTAATCATTCAACTTGTTTTCATTATTGCTTGTAAGCCGCACTGAGCCCGGCCTTGGCTGGGGAGGGTGGGGTATAAATAAAAATTATTATTATTATTTAGAATATAGAAATAAATGGGCAAAAGTTTATTTCAAAATAAAAGCAGATTATATAATGTGAAACCATGGAAAGAACACCATTTATATTATTTGAAAGATTACAAAAGGTCAACCTGTTACAGTTGCAGAGATTTAAGTACACACAGAAAATAACTGAATTTTATGGCTGCTAAGATATCAATTGGGATCATTTCTTACAAATATACAAATTAAAAATAAAGCAACAAGGAAAGTAAGAGAATGTGAAAAGAAAGTAGTAAGATACAGCTCAATGGATAAGAGATTAGTTAACCTTTTATACAAAACTCATATTGAGAATCAATTTTGCTCTCCCCCCAAATAAAAAAAGCTGGTGGGAATTAAATTGGGATATAATACAGTGCTTTTTTCTGGTGGTACCCAAGCGTACGCAGGATCAGCACCTTTTTTCTAGAATAAAAGCACTGGTTAAAAGTGTGGCACTTGTTGTAACAACTTCATGGTGAGTCCTGGCACATTTTTTCTAGTAGAAAAGCACGGGATATAAACATTGAAGAGAACAATGAAACATGTTATGGGCAAAAGCAGCATGTAAATTTCGGTCAGCAACTACTAGGGAACATTCACTAAAATTGTTTATGGATGATACAGTATTTAACACTGAGATGCCTATCTTATATACAGCCCAATAGCTCTTTCTTCTGTTGGAGAGGATGCCAAATTTAGGTACATAGCAACATATGTGGTGGGACTGTCCATAAATAGGATAATTTTGGAGGGACGTTTGTAAAGAGATATCTCAGGTTACAACTCAGACAAACGCAATAACCCCAGCATTATTAGCCTTACTTAATTTATGTACTGTACTTCAGATATGGACCAATTAAGGAGTAAGGAATTAATAACGCATTTATTAACAGCAGCTAAAACAGTACCGGTAATAGCTAGAGCTTGGAAAACCTTGCAATTAATGAATATTGATCATTGGTATAATATAGTCTGGCAAACAGCCACAATCGAAAAGCTGTCACAAAAATTGAAGGTGGCAAGGGGAAAGGAAAAAAAACAAGATAATTTTTTGCACTTTATGGTGTGATTTTATTAAATATTCAAATGAAACAACACACGGATGAGAAATACCTACAAAATATATTGCAATATGGCCTAGATAAGCAGGCACTACTCTTTAGCTCACTCCTATTACTCTGTGATTTCCAAGTTGATTTACTGACAGATTCATTTTACTGGCTTACTGTAATCACCACATTATTCTGCATTGTAAATATGTTTAGTATTTTACCCTCCTATTGACCCATTTTTTGTTAGTCATGCCATGTCTGATTATTTATGTGTGTAGAATTGGTAATAATATTTATTTATTTTTAAAGACATCTAATATGAAAATGTGCTTTTCTCATGCATTATTTTAAAAATGGAGGCAGATTCCCAATGGACCACCATCGGCAACTTATACAACCCCAAAGGCATATGGGAATTTTTCAGTCTTTTTTAGTATCCTGAGACATCCTTTTCCTGAGACATCATTTCCCCTAGGGTGCAAAAAGAAATAAACTTCACAGATGGTACAGTGTGAGAGTTAGAACAGTTTTAAGTAAGAAATGGCAATTGTGACACTAAATTTATTGCAGCGTGTGCACACCTAACACCAGCCTTCCCCATCCTGAGATTGCGGGCTGATGGGAGCTGCAGCCATCGTGCAAAATTTGGTTACGATCTCTTAAGAAATGTCCAAATGCATAGCAAACAGACTGACAACGTTCTGAAATATTATTTATTAACACCATTTCTATAATGCTAATAATAATAACAAAATCTCTAAGCACTGCACAGAAAACTAAAGTAGCACCAGACAACTGACAAGATTACAAAATTACATAAATGCAAAAATACAGAGTTGACATATAAACATGTGGCATTGATACAGAATTACTAATAAATATCAACCAATACCAGTTATTTTGCCTTTGGACACACCCTCCCTCTCCGCCTCCTGGCTCTCACCCAGTACTCCACCCACCCAGGCTCTCACTCAGAGTCTTAAGCAATCTCTCAGCTCACCCACAAAAGTCTCACAGCAAGAAGGGTTGCTGCTGACATCATTCTAGTATCTCCCCTTAGGGCACTGAGTGGCCACCATTTTCCAGAACACTCCAGGGCTTTACAGTGACGTAAAGATGGTAGCTTGCAGCTGCCCTTCAAAACAATACCCTTTTCTTCATTGTATTGGGGGGTTGCAGTAGACTTGGCGTTTCCCACAGCTACATTGTGGTGTGGTGGTTAAGAGCGGTAGACTCGTAATCTGGTGAACCGGGTTTGCATCTCCGCTCCTCCACATGCAGTCACCTTGGGCCAGTCACACTTCTTTGAAGTCTCTCAGCCCCACTCACCTCACAGAGTGTTTGTTATGGGGGAGGAAGGGAAAGGAGAATGTTAGTTGCTTTGAGACTCCTTCAGGTAGTGATAAAGTGGGATATCAAATCCAAACTCCTCCTCCTCCTCCTCTTCTTCTTCTTCTTCTTCTTCAAGTGTTTTATCCGACCCTTCAACTGAAGCGTCTGCCAGTGCTAAGGCTGTCTGTGACCTCAGACTTATCATTTAAAAGATATGGCACAAAAGGAAAATGGATGAGGAGGGAGGGAAAAGCAAACTCAAGTGCTATATCTTAGCTACAAGACCAGCTGTAACAAGCCAATTTGGGAAGAGGCTAGAGGGAGCCAAGACTTCCTGGTCTTTCAGCAGAGCAGAAGGAGCAGCTCTCCATTTCCATCTCTTCCTTCTCTGGCAGCCTGATGGAAATCCTGCTGTAGTTGACAGTTGAGGGAAGATACAGTTGAAAAAAGTGCATGGCTTCTCCCAAACAAACATGGGAACTGTGGTTTGTTAAGGGTGCTGAAAATTGTAGGTCTGTCTTTGGAGGAAACCATGACCGTTGTATATTATCTTAATTCTACTAGTGTTTGATTACATTTTAATCATTGTCTTTTTATGTCTTTAGTTTGTTCTGGGGAAAAGGTGAGATATAGTAATAATAATAATAATAATAATAGTAATAGTAATAGTAATAGTAATAGTAATGATGATGCACACCTTCCGGAGAGCACCATCACTTAATTGTAGCTATGGCAACCTAGCTCATTCTTTGAGATGTTGATGAGAGCACTTCTATGGCCAGCTAAGGCCGTTGTCTCACAAAGAAACTTGTCTGAGCTGTTCAGCAGCCTCTACTACTAGATCCAGGACCAAGGATACCATCCAAACTGACCTTCCAGACCAATAATAATAATAATAATAATATTTTATTTATATCCCTCCCTCCCCAGCCGAAGCTGGGCTCAGAGTGGCCAACAACAATAAAAGGAACACAGTTCACATAAAATCACAATCAATTGAAATGCATTCTAAAATCAATTCATTCTAAAATCAATTCAAAATCAAATTAATGGCAACCATTGG